AGTGATGGCAAAGAAACCTGCCAAGAAGTGTGCTGCACCTTCAGAGGTTTTGTTTTGCTTCTTTTCTTCTTTTCCGTTATGGTTGTGGTTGCGGTGAGCTCACTAGTAGCGTTACCATGCAAAACAATATTCTTGTTATACAATGATTCTACCTGAAAAATCGACGATGTGATGGAAAACATGCCACAGATATCCATACAGAGACTCGTGTTATTTCAGTTGACTACCATCATTATTTTGTGATGTCCAAACTACCATTTGCAATGGGACAAACACAGCTTGTAGAACAACTGAGTAGCAGTTGTTCAGCAAGTTTATGTCCTTAAAGGCTGTTTTTTGTTGAATTATCTTAAATATAGTGACAAAAAAGCAATAAAGAGACTGAAACAGGAACATAGTATCACTAAGGTAAGTAACACGCATGTATAATAACGCAATAATTAGTATAACTGACAGATATGAACAAGAACAACTAACTGTATATCCACTTGTCCAATATTACTTCACATCATACACTGTCGCGATTCGTCTGAAAAAGGCCGTCTGTTGATTTGATAATTCACTTTTAATTACTCATTAAACGCAGCATTTTTTGGCAAAAGTGAATGGCCGTGTAGTAAAAAGATATTGTTTATAGGTCAGGACTTCTATATGACTTGGGCTTAAAAGGAAAAAATGGCTGGCTGTGCCCCTGACATGTATTACACCTACTTATAGTATGACATAACACCTGGGCCCAGTTGTTCGAAGGCCGATTAGCCGTTAACCCAGGGTTAAATTTAACCCGGGTTTCTTTTCCTTTCGTTCAAAAGCATCTTCTCGGATAATTTTCTCCTATTTTTAAGTTCATCCAATCATGAACTTGTTGACAAAAAGAATTAAACTGAATTCACTTTTTAAGCTTTCATATCTGAATTCAAATTTCGCCCTAACCCTGGGTTATCATAACCCAGCTTTGAACAACCTGGCCCTGGTTACCAAAAACAGTAAATCACATTATGCTCTTGTTGGCACAAAGAAAATCAGTGTCTTTTTTTTAACTGCTAGCATCATGAAACAGACAGTTCAGACAGTGAGGATGGTCCAGCTCCTTATCAACAGTTGCTTGGTTTGCTTGGAGTTGAGTCTGGATCTGACGTGAACCACTTGACAAAAAAATGGAGAGAGGATGGTAGTGAAGGAGAAGAAGAGGAGGAAAGTGACGAGGAAATCGAGCATGACACTGAATTCAAGGATGAAAATAAAAATGACAAGGCCATAAAACAAATGAATGATAACAAAATGACGATAATAAAACAGAACAAAGATAAGAGTCACAGTGATGTGGTGCATGTTGGAAGTTCTAATGAAGATACAAAAGAAACTGTTATCCACGAAAACAGCTATAATGGAAATGAAGATGATGATGACACTAGTGATAATAATGATGATGATGATGATGATGATGATGATGATGATGATGATGTCATTGACAGAAATAAAACTGATACTGATGACTATCGAAAAGAAAGTGGAACCTTTGAGGAAAGTGATGATGACGATATTGATGATCTCAAAACAAGGCATTTGAAAGGTACTGTACAATAATATTAGCCACTGCTGATCCATAGTTATTAGTTAGTAATTGATTTCCTGTTTTAAATGTTGTTCTCTGGAAACTGAAAAGAGTTGTAGACAGAATTCAAACAAGAAAAGTTGGCTCATTGTTTGCCTCATGATGTAGTTACTAATTAATCAGCATCACAAAACACAGCAAATGATTGTGTTCAAATTTAACTTCTTCTCTAATGTTTCGTGAGGCCTAAACACTAAATACTTTATTATTTTATATCTTACATTTAATTTTTTTCTAAAGGAACTGAAGATCCATTTGTAGTTCATTTTGAACAAGACTTAGAAGAATCTGCAGAAAAACATCTTAATGACCTTAAGTCCTGGCAAGTTAAAACCAGCAAAGTGAGTTGCATTCTTCTTTGTGTCAGTGTATTTCTGGATTAGACCAAAACTTTGACTGAGGTTATTAAAAAAAATTATGGGGTTGTTTTGTTTTCCTCTTACAGCTGTACTTGTTAATTCTTATTAACAAAATTATGTTCATTATTGCATTTCTTTTTATTTCTGAATCATTTTCAGATTGCTTCATTTGGCAGTGTCACTGAAGTGATTCCATCTGTCAAGCCTTTACCAAGTGTACACATTTATGTCAATAAGGAAACAACATTTACAGATTTAAAGGTAAATGTGATATTAATAATAATAATAATAATAATAATAATAATAATAATAATAATAACAATAATAATAATAATAATACAAAAGCATGGTAGAGATAAAAGCCACTCGAGGATTTTAGTACTTTCCACTCCCTGTGATTCCGATAGCTAATCAGATCATCTGGCATTGTTGTAACGACCAATCAGTGTTGCGGCCAAAATCTGGCCACAGCAGCACAGGCGTGAGGGAATGTAGGGAAACTGCTAAAACAGGAGCCTGATCTCAGGTTAAGCATAAGCATAATGTGACAATTAATGCGTTCTAGATCCTTGTTGTGGAATTCCCCTCAGTAGTCCCCCTGGGCTTTTGTTATGTCGTTTACAGACATAATAAACATGGCTACCTGCTGAAATGTTGTGAGTTTCAGTGTTCAACAGACCTACACAGAATTAGTTTGTCTCTTCATTTGCAATGAGACGAGTGAGATACTGTGAAAATAAGTTACCTCTAGATTTGAAAGGATTAAAAATTTTGTACTCGTGGAACAAGATACTACTATAATATTATTAAAAATATAATAATAAAAAGTGCATGTCTACATTATTTTTGTTTTCTAGTTGAGGGCTAGTCTTCTTCAAGGTTGGGAAAAAATCAATGAAAAATTAAGCTTTGAAGGTATGCTGTTTGGTTTCTTTTTTAGTGTTGTGTTACTTTTAATTTCAGCTATTATCTTAACTATGTCTTCATGGAGTACAACATTATTTCTTTAGTTTTTGAGTTTAACTCTTTAAGCCCTTGTATCAACATTCAAATTCATACATTTAGAATCAGTAAAGAGTACAAAAAATTGAGTAAGGGTCAAACCTTTTTTCCCTATTGTGATCAGTTCATTAATTCTTATAACCTTTATATTGATTGTGTCTTTATTGTTAGGAGAAAATTGATGTTGGTCACTCTTACGAAAACATGCCAGGTTTCCCTGTTGTGAAAGTAAAGGCCAGAGTATAACATCCTGGTTCGATGTTGCTTGCAGGAGAAGAGACAGGCCTTAAAAAATCAACCCAAGGAAAAATAACTATAATGTCCTTTTGCCCCTCTTTCAACAGGGAACTCTGTTTGCAGCATACTGTAGTAATTTTTTGTGTACAAATGTCTGATGGTTATTACTTCTTTACAGGTTTGTTCACTCCACTTCAACAAAATCTTTTTCAGCACATAAACTCATACCAGGCAAGTTTTCACTGTATATAATATATATGTATATAATATTTTGTTTCTCACAATGTTTAAATTCCAAAATTAATGTTTTACCATGGTAGAGTAAGCTCAGCTAGCAGATTACTGGTCTGCAGAGAAGGATGTGATGGGTCCGATCCCGGGAACCAGACCTGAACCAATACTCAGGGTGTTAAACAATAATGAGGAAGAAACTGCTGCCTTTACATTGCCAATGGCTAGACCCTCACGTAACTGGGATGGCCATGTAGAAGTAGTGGTCCTGTCTCTAGCTGGGGTTAAGTTGTAAACAACAGTATCTGGAACTCGGAAAAATACTTGAATTCCAGCTTGTCCTTTGGACAAGCAGCTCTCACTTTTTGCCTGCCCAGGGACCACTTCTTGCTCCTCTTGGTTAAAGATTTTGTTAAGGGATGACTTACCTGTACCCTTGCTCCTTAGGCAAGTAAGCTTTCTAAGTCACCATACCAGCCGAGCAAGAAAATCTACTTGTCGTGGACTACCAGATGGGACTTTTTTCGAGCTTTGAGTATCCTATTAGCATGTTGTGATGAATACATTGACCCTTAAGTAAAGCAGGTTTGGGGGTTGGAGGTGGGGGGGGGGGGAGGAGGAGTGGAGGGTTATTTACATGTAGAGCTTTAGAACAGTAATATTAAACTGTTCAGGACATATCCTGAACAGATCCTCTTACTCGATTTTTGCATGGGAAGATGACGTGTTTAAGAGAAGATCGAGTCTGGGAGGTCATCAAAATATTTTCTTTGGCTCCAACATTGAACTTGGAAGCTGGTTACAAGCTTCCTGGGAAGTTTTGTCAGGTGATTCACATTACAAATCACATGACAAAATGTCACACTCCATCACGTGATAAAGATTCTTAGATGGAATTGAAAGCTTGTGTGTCTTAAATAAAGCTTTATCCTAGAGTCTTAAACCTCTTTTATGCTCAGATAATAATGTTGGTTTGCACAATAATCCATGGCAGTGATATTGTGTTGACCTCATGGTGTAAAAGTTTGATTTTGGTTAAGAAAAAGGTGATCATTAAATTTTAAAAGACAATCCATTGTAAAGGGTAATCATGATTAATTAGACGTAAGTTATATTTCTTGGACTTTTAACAGGATGTTTTCTACTCCAACCGCACATTCCAGAACGGTGACGAGATTAGAAGGCTTTATTGCCTTCATGCTCTTAATCATATACTGAAGTAAGTTTACTTTCATTCATGTACTTTGTGCACTCATACAGCCATGCACTTTTCCAAAGACATCAAGTGACAAATGAAACTATTGGCTGGCAGCTAACGAGGCCATAAGTTGATCTGCTTTTCATCTGATTTTTGACATTACAGTCATGTGTTAACTCTTTCAGTCAAAGTTATTAAAAAAATTCTCCAATCTCACTTTGTGCCATCAAGCTCACAGAAATGGCACTTTATACAACTGTAAATTCTTGCATTATTACTTTGTATAGAATGTTGAGAAACAAACAACACCATATGAAAATACTGCTGATGAACAATTTATTGTTTCAGTGGTAATACCACTGGTTTCCTCACAGACTCAAAAATTGAAAACTGGTACTGAGAGCGTACTGGTCAGATGTGTTCTCAATCACTCCAGGCTTCTTAAGAAATTTGTGCTAAATGCTTAAACTTTTTTTCAACTATGATCGAAACTGATAAACTAAGGAAAGAAGACCAAGCCTTACAAAAAGAAATTCAAGATCTAAAAAATCAACTGAAGAAAGTCACTGACGACATGTGTTATTACGATTTTTATTTCATTTATTATTTTGCAAACTGTAAACTTTCCTTAGTTAGCCTTAGTCTTAATTTCATATTTTGCACTCATTGTCCTGCCTCGAATAGCCTTGCTAACTGTAGGCCATGCTTCTGTAATATTATCTGTTTATAAATAAAGTTTGTTGTTGTTGTTGTAGTTAGAACCACTTTACATGACCCCATCACTCACTCTGACAGTGAAAGTGTTAATCTGGGGATGACTCTAGTGCATACTCAGCTATTTTTTAGTTTTCAAGGATTTTACAAGAAAACCTTGATTTTCTTTGTGAGCTTTTTACCTTGGTCACTTAGGAGGGAAAGAGCATTATTTCATGTGTTATTCACAGGGCTGTCATTAAGAGGCGGGAGCCAGGGATTTCCCCCGGCTACTAAGAACGTGGCCCCTGGCTACTTTGAATTTATAAGAAAATAGAAGAAAAATATAACCAAAAGAATCTTCTCTAGCTGTTTGATTCCCAGGTGCCCACTTGTTGTAGTTACCGGGCGACTTGAAATCTTAGTGACAGCCCTGATTCATATAACATTTCATATTAGCTTAAAGAGAGGCAATGTGTTGTAAAAAAATATTGTGGGTAGAATAATTGGAATGTTATAATGACTGAGACCAGTGCTTGGGTAATTACATTTGAAAATAATGATAAATAATGTTTATCTGACAATCATTTACTTACAGGACTCGTTCAAGAGTAACAAAAAACACTCGAAAAATTGTTCAGTCCTGGAAAGATAAGAAGGAGATTGGGTGAGCTTTTATTTATTCATTTATTTATGAGGAGAAAGGTACTGGACGCAATTTAATTGGAACTTTCTGTAGAAACCAAGGATTGATGATCATAATGATGACGCAGGCAGTGATTCATAATAACAACAGAAATAATATTAATATTTCTGTTCTTCTCAGAGGCTGTTTGAATAGCTTCTGAAAGAGTGGCCAGTATTAGCTGCATGTGTAGATATGTTACAGGTCAAAATTATGTTCAGGTTAAATTTTTTAACCTAGGTTGATTCTCAATTTCCTTTCTCTCCTAGCCCTAATTCTTGAATAACTAATTGAACCTGTACTAGATGTACATGTATAAAATGTATTATATAGCTATTGATTCTGATGAACTGTCATTTTTTCTCACAAGCGACACTGTATTTTTCTTAATAGTGAGCAACGTGATCAAGGACTAACAAGACCAAAGGTGTTGATCTTAGTTCCTTTTCGAGATGCAGCATTAAAGTTAGTTGAAGTCATGATGCAGCTTATCTGTCCAGGAAATACTGTAAGAAAATTTTAAACCAGTTACAACAATAATAATACATGTACCTACCTGCCAACTTTTTCCAGTCACATGTTTGAGTTTTTCGCCTTGTGATGACTTGGATTTCTGAAAACATCCCGGTGACTTCTGTAGATTTGCGACGATTTTCCTTAGACTTCCAAACGCTTCCAAAAATGTCCGAAGATCTTCTGACGACCTTTGAGAACTTCTGAAGCTGTTTAAAAGACAACACTTTCAGTGTGTTTTCATTTCATTAGAACACAAAGTCATGATCATTTTAATGCCTTAGTTTTTGAAATATTTTTGTGGAAATGGAATTGAATCTTTGTTATTAATCATGTGTTGAAGAACAATTTGTCTGGATTTGTGAGTCATGTGTGAGAAATTGTCTTTGATACATGACATCAACGTCTTAAGTAAGTAGGCGAGAGACTCACACATAATGCTTGAGAGTTGACAGGTATACAGTAAAACCATCTAGCGGTTACAACTGTCATCAGTAGTAAATAAACTTTTACCCATAACATCTCTCTAAGTATTTCATAACATCTTCCTCTTAAGCTTGAACTTTGAATTTAATATTAGTAACATCCAATAAGCTCAAATGTAAGGGCTGTTTTTGGTTACACCCATTATTACAGCCCTTGTTGTATGCCAATTGGTGTTTATTTTCCTTTAGACTTCTCATGTTACTTTCATCCTATGTGGTTATTTCCAAATAAAATTATAAATATACATTGTAAAATTAATAGACTGAGAAAGAAGCATCAAAGCGTCTGAACAATACCCACAGCCCAGGCCTGCAAATATTTTTCCTTTTTAGAACAGACGTATGTCGTCCGACCAGGTCACTGTTTTAGTCAGACAAACCAAAATGTTCATTGTTAGACACGCATAATTGAGTTTTAATTTCTTTATTATTACTTTGCAAATTTACAAAAAAATCTTTGGTATTTGGTCTATCTGTTTTTTTTTTTTGTCCAAATTCTTTAGATGCAGGTATGATTTCCTTGCAAAGCAAATTTTAGGCAGAAATTGTTTGGTGACTGTCTGTTATTTGCAGCTCTGCAAGCTCCTCCATTATACAATCCCTAATACAGTACGCCCACCTTTCAAAGCACAGAATCATTTTTAGCCTGATCCTTTTATTTTGAATTTCTAATACAAAATAAAGGGCTTGTGCAGTATTCTCCTTATCAGGCAGTAACTGCTAAAATTTACTGCCTGAAGCAATGCTTCTTACCGCCTGCAGCTGCTTGGAGGTTTAGTAAAACTTTTAAAAAAGTAGATTTTTAAAAAAAGGAAGTTTTGATCCGATTCGATTCTCACAAGCAAAATGAAAAAATATATACGGAAAAGTACTAAAGTATACACAGCTTTTCTTTTTATGGGCCCTGCATTGTGGAAAGAGAACATAAGGACAGAATAAAATTCTTTGAATCAAACATTTTAAATTATTGTTGTCTAAAGATAACAACGGCCGATTTGCGTAAAATAGGTCTTAAAATGAGGGAATGATGTCTCAGAAAACTTAGCTCCAAAATTTCTCAGCAGGAGTGGGGCCATGTACCTCACTCCACTATACCCCTCCCCCCCCTTCTCCCCAGGAAAGTGCACCTCTGGCACATATTTTTTGCCTTACCGGCCATGAATGGTCCCTTACCTGCTGAGCTAAAATGTAGGGAGAACACTGCTTGTGAAGGATGTTTATGGAATATTAAATTTACAAAGTTTTGTAAACATTTTCTTTCAGGGTCAAGTTAAGAACAAAAAGCGTTTCTTTGAAGAGTATAGGGAGGAAGAGGAATCTGACATTTCTAAAGACAACAAAACTGAAGACTTTAAACAGATGTTTGCAGGAAACATTGATGATTGTTTCCGGATAGGAATATCAGCCAGTAAAAAGTCTCTAGAATTATATGCAAAGTTTTATTCTTCAGATATTATTGTGGCTTCACCACTCGGACTGAGGACCATCATAGGAAATGAAGGGTAATAAAATTATTAAATGAGCATTGACCAGCATCAAATTTCTCCTCAAAACAACACTGCTTGATTTGTAATCAAAAACACTTAGTAAATTTCTAGAGAATTCCAATCTAACTGTAAATACCATAGGGTACTTTATACAGTAAGTTTACTTATGTTATGGCAGCTAGCAAACTATTCAGGTTGTCATCATCAGTAAATAATGTTATGCAACCTGTAATCTGATTGTAGGGAGAAGTCCCATGAGTATGATTTTCTTTCGTCCATTGAAGTTATTATATTGGATCAAACGGATGTCTTTCTCATGCAGAACTGGGAACATGTTCAGGTACATGTACCTAGCTAGCTAGTCCACTAGGGTGCAATCCTTCAACCAAAACTTCTGGAAAACTGAATGCAATGGATGGGTCTAACTGGAAAAGTTTTGGTGAAGGTGGAAGTGTTTTTCAGTTGAACCACAAGGTCTTGCCAGAAATTTGCCTTCCATTTAATCAATCCTGTTCCCATTTTCAGTTTCAAAATTTCTATGAACTTTGATCCACACCTAAGTGGATCCAGGGCTTTCACCAAGGGCTGGGGGCCACAAATTGAATTTCCCCTGCTGGCTATTATGAGCGTGAACCCTGGCTACTTTCATGGGAAACAAATGAAAATAGATCAACCCAAAATGGTTCAATTCCCTGCCCACCATTTGCATAATTATACCTAGCAAACTTGAAGTGTTAGCAGTAGTTCTAGGATCAGTTTTATCTCACTGACCCATGAGGATGCAAAATTTGTCTCCTGGCCCAGAGAGGAATAAAACAAGAATGGTCAAAGTTGTGTTCCTTTTACCTCCATAAAATTTTTAGAAATTCTGTTGATACTTTTGGTTGAATGGGTTGCAACTGTAGTGTCAGTTCTCACTAAGTCTTGACTAGTGTAATAATTACAGTACTGTTTTTGTTTACACAAGGGCTAAAAATATCAAAAAAATATAAATTTACATTGTAATTTTATGTTATGTTGTCAATATTGATGTAATTATCATATGTCTTGGTCTCTAATCCTCCCACAGCACATATTTCAGCATCTTCATCTACAACCCAAAGACTCACATGATGTAGATTTTTCACGTGTCAGAATGTGGTGCCTAAATGGTTGGTAAGTGTTCCAGTTTTTTATGCTTTCAGCCGTAAAACTGGTACGTTGCGGCTACTTCAGCCATAATTATTATGTTTGCCATGGATTCATTGTGCTTACTAGTTTGCCATGATGTTTTTTTTTTTTTTCAGGTCTAAGTTTTACAGACAGACCTTAATCTTCAGCAGCTTTGTCTCCCCAGAAATGAACTCATTATTCAACAGACATTGTTACAATATCCTTTTTAAGTTGATAACACATTTTTATAATTAACAATAAATTATTGAATGAGGCTGAGTATCATCTGAAGAATTATGGAGATCTCGGAGGGTGTTATCTGCCTCAGCTCCAATGCATGATCCATTGAACCAAAATTTTTGAAAATTTTATGAAGGTGATAGATTGCAACTCTGGAATGGTCCCATTTTATTTTAAATGGGGGCTGATGTGCAGTAAGTTAATGGAATTGATTGATTCAGTTTTCGACTGAAGTTTCCAGAAAATTTGGTACTTGAAATAGGAGTGGTCATATGGAAGGGCAAATTTCTATTAAAACTCCTCCAAACCAAGAAAAATGGTTGACCACAAATTAGTTGGACCTTCAACTAAAACTTTTCCTGTTGGACTGAACTGATCCTTTCAAATTAAATGGACTGAAATTTCCAGAAATTTTGGTTCAATAGATCTGGCCTTGGGTTAATTATTATTGTTTTCCAGGAATGTTTTTGGTACAAGGTTAAAGTAATCGTACCACCCTTACATGTACCATACTAGTGACTCACATTGGTCTAACTTGGGTGTTCTTGCTTGCAGGATCTTCCATTTAAGGTTTGGGTCAAGGATCCATGCCTGTTTTAGGTTTGAGAAAACCGCAATTTTAACTGAGTGGGTTTGAACAATATACTTAGTTGTTAGGTATATGTGAGAAAATTTTAGTCAGCTGTAAGGCTCTTATTCCCAATCTCTCGTTCTACTTGGAAGCATATAACACCATTATACCATATACAAACGTATAGTAATCTGCATTACCACTGTATCAACGTACTTACGTACGAAGATGCTATCACAATACTTCATTGAAGTGTTTAAAAAAGTTTTTGTTTTTTAGTGGAAATATACCATCAGCTTTATAAAAGTGCTGTTCTTCAGCTTTTGAGCATTAATGATCCACTTGTTGTTCTTGACTGTCTCCATATTTTGCTGGAAGAGTGAAAGCTAGTCTGTCTGATGTACCAGGGTCTATTTGTCAAGTTGCTGTTCAGGTTCCACAGGTAAAGGCTCCCAGGGGGGGTACTCGGGATTTCAAGTGACCGGGATGATCAAAGGATCTTTTTGAGTTTGAAATTTTCAATTCCGGGATTTTTTTGGGTACGAAAATTTGGCTTAGGTAGCTTGATTTGAGTAGGGATTTTTTTGGGTTATTTAAAAGAATCGGTAGAGCCCTGGCTGCGTAGTTCTGCGAATAAAGTACAAACAAACGTGTTTTGCTGTTGTTTAATAGTTAACTATGGTGTCGCTTTACATCGTACGTTTTATACAATAGTCTGCATAAAATTGGCATGGGATTTTTTGGGGGTTAATTTTTTGTCCAGGGATTTTTTTGGGTTTTGCTGGAAGCCCTAGGGATTTTTTTGGGTCTTGACTGTTGGCTCCATTCGATCATCCCCACCACTTGAAATCCCGAGTACCCCCCCTGGGTAAAGGCTCTCTGGATTTTCAGTACTTGTAATAAGTTAAAAGACTTATGAACGCTTTACAGAGAAACAGCTTAGATATGTTACTTGTAGGTTTTCTTTTATCTTTGGAACAAAGGACTTAACTACTCAATAAATAGCTTTCATTAGTCTAGCATTCTGACTCACGTCCACAAGCTAGGCTGCTAAAAAGATGAAGCCAACTTGTACAATGTACATGAAAGTACTTCTTAGAAACACTTATTATCAGTAGATAGGAAGCAGTTTAGTATAGTACTTTAACTTTTGTTCTATCCTTCTTTTCTCAGGCTTTTCATCGATTTCAATGTTCCAGTTTTGATGAGGCAGCTGACAAAAGATTTAATACTTTCATAAATGAGGTATACATGCTGTCAAGGAGACTATTTTAATAGATTTTGTATAATAATTTGAAAACGACGTGAGCTGCAAATTGCATGAAAGTACAAAATGTAGCTGGTTCAGCCAGCGAGCACTGACAGGGGTATGAATAAATAATTGGTGCTGCACAGAATAGGAAAAACAGTTTACATTCTCTGGGAGGGGCCAACAAGGTAAGAATACTAGTGAATGGCCAAGGTGGGTGAGTGTAACACCCATTAATTTTATAGCATTCACTGTATCTAGAATATATTTTATTGTATTTTAATTCCCTATAGTTTTTTATGCAGTGTTTATACTGACAAGTCCAATTCAGCTATATGAAATGACATAGACTTTACTCAAACATTAGATAAAAAGGATGTTAAATTATTATTAAAATTAATAAAAAATTAATCAATATGAAAACACATATGAATCAGCTACAAAGTAAAGTTCTTATATGTTCAACTATCGGTGCATTAATGTCACATTAATCTAGTTTTAGGCTTGGCATTACAATTTACAAGGTTTTAGATTCGTGCTGTTTGTTAGTTGTGAACTTGCCATAATCTTCATGGTAAGAGTGAATTAACAGGCTCTACTTTTAAGACTGACTTAGAAAAGAGTGAAATAAATAGAATGATAGATTGACGGTTAGTTTTCATGGTGTATGTTGCAGGTTTTACCAGAGTTCAAAGGCTCTCTCATGGGTCACACAGCCATATTTGTTCCATCATACTTTGACTTTGTCCGTCTTAGAAACTACTTCAAACGAGAAGGCATTGAATGTGCTCAAATATCTGAGTAAGTAATTTGGAAAAAACTCAGCAAGGGGTGGTGCGTGACCCTCAATAAGAGCTGCATGTGTAGAGTTGTTGTTTTCCTTTGTTATTGATTGAAGCCAATTACTTTTTTATGTTCTTGTTGCCATCATCATTGTGATATCTTAAATCTCCTTAGTCTTCGAATAACATCTTCCATTCAAAAGTTATAGCTTGAATTGTCATTCTTATTTTCTGTGAGCTTTTTGGCAGACTCTTTACGAATGACCACTCACTATTATTTGAATGAGAATTTTACATTCCTTCAATTCTCTAATTCCACAAACTATTTGGTCAAAAAGAGTGCTTCTAATTTGCTTCCATGTTCAATTTCTTACATGGAAAGTGTAGGGGATGCTCAGCCATTTTTTTAAATTTTATTCTTATTCTTCATTGTTGTCCCTTTACGTCTTGACATGAGATTTTAGAACAATTTACCTGTCAAATTTCAGATATTCGCAGAAAAAGGACATACAGAGGGCTAGAACATATTTCCTGCAGGGAAAAAGGCCATTTCTCTTGTTCACGGAAAGATTTTATTTCTTCTACAGGTACATACACTGTAAATTAATTTTGACCAGAATAAATTTCTGTTTTACAAATACAGTAAGGGGGACATATAACTGGGATTAATTTTAGGGTATGAAGATGACAGGTAACCCAAGTCAACTAGATTGGGTGAGGCATAGTGCGATATTCACAGGGGCGATGTTCACAGGGAGCGGCTTGTAAAAGATCTGATTATTCAAAATATGGAAAGCGTCCCCAAAAAATACAGATAAATTTCTATATGGCAGAGTTATTTTGAATGCTTCATTTGTGGCAAAAGTCCTGATCATTATTTTGTTGTCCTGAATTGCTCACTTATCACAGGTTACTTTTTTTTCAATTTTCAGATATCGAATCAAAGGAATTAAAAACATCATCTTCTATGAACTGCCACTCTACTCTACCTTCTACTCTGAAATTCTAAACCACATGGACACTTGGCATAGCCATTCGGACTCCCAGGTTAATCCTGTCACATGTACAGTGCTGTATACAAAGTCAAATGCCTTGCGGTTAGCGGGTGTGGTCGGTACAAATCGCTGTGCTCACATGATCTCATCAGACCAACAGGTGCACATGTTTGTGACTGGAGATGATGAATCATAAGATTTGCACATGTGGAGAGCGAGGATGAGCGGGTGTGGTCATTACAAATACCTTGCGGTTAGCGGGTTTGGTCAGTACAAATTGCTGAGCTCACATGATCTCATCAGACCAACCGGTGCACATGTTTGTGACTGGAGATGATGAATCATAAGATATTAAATTATGTGGCTATGAATCTAGCTCTGCGCATTTGGACATACTAATCCAGGATTTATTTATTTGTCATGGGAGGGGGTCAAATAGACCCTGCTTCCATGGTTGTTTTTTTCAGTGTTAATAACGACCAGTTAGTGTATATCAATCAACACTGTGCGAAAGAATGCCTTAAAATTAGAAAACTTACCAAGTTTAAACTTAAGGTGATAAGATCCAAAACGAACAAAGACACTGCCCCATGAAGTCGCAAAATTTTACAGACGTTTGTATAGTTGGGCACAACCTTGCCCCTCACTGTAAAAATTCCACAACTTTGCAGAACTTTATCTTTTAGTTTTCAACAAATCACTTCCAAGGGCAACTTTACACTGATTTTAAGGAATTCTTTTCAGCAGTGGTGACAGATGTTTGCTATCAGGTCCCAGTTAAAGTTGAAAAAAAAACTGAAAAGTTCCAGCCTCCTCCTCAGGCCTTTTTGTTTTTCGCATGGTAGAGGCAAGCCCACAGGGAAAGGTCTATTTTACATTATGTACAGTCCTCTACAATACAGTGCATTTATCACTCTCATGTGACTGTTTCATTATAGGATGAGTAAAATCCCACAAAATTTGTCATAGTCTTTTTTACATATTTATTGAATCTTCAATTAAAATTAGAGAATCATCTTCTCAACAAATATGTTCAGTGGCAAGGTACTATATCTGTTTGTATAATAAGAGAATAGTTATGAAATATCACGCTGATATATACGATGGCAAGGTAAATTATCTGTCTGCATTTAAAGAGAATGAAATGTTGCTGATGTTTTTGAACTGCAAGGCGCAATTCCATATGTTAATTTATTATAAGAAGGTATAAAAACTCTCAGCTGGAATATGCAATTTTGCTTAGGTGGTGATTGTCAACAAAATACAATTTTTAAAAAGTGATAAATAAAGTTCTTTTTTAACTTCAAGAAGGCAGGATTCTCCACTGTAAAGAGAAAATGGTATGAATATGAAATGGCATAACTAACTCGAGTTGACAGAGTTTGAATACCAGTTCTCATAAATCTGGTGGGAATATTGAAACCCGTGGAATGCTCCAGAATTTGCACTATGAGTTTGCCTTAAACCAAGTGCAGAAATCTTTCAGCTGTTTGTATATGCGAAGAAAAACCCAATAACAGAACTTGTTCAACAAGCTCATGCTGTGTGCTATAGAACATTTTGGCAGCCACTGAGTGGAGGGCATTGCCAAGCCTTGGTAGAACAGACCATTTTACAGTTGTCGGCTTGGTACCCTAGCATTCAAGTAGATGTGAGGCTGAGGCTTGTTACAAATTAAACTTCCTTTGTTTTCATGCAGAAAATTAAACAAAAAATACTAGTTTGCATAAGAACAACATAATTTACATAATAAAGCAGGAAGGATTGTATCAAAACAAGGTCAACTCCAAGCTCGTTTTCATTGATAACTGTAAAATGGTCTTTTTGTTGCTGCAGTATAAATTCTTCGAATGTTGAAAATGAAAGCACTAACCTCCCACTACTTTCAAGTCCTGGGGTTTATGCCATTATATTATGAGTAAGTAATGATCCGGGTAAGGTGGATAGCAATTTCTTTTGTTATGCGGCAATTTTTTACACAGAAAATGCATAAACCTACATGGAGGCCGTTTACGCAATAAAATGCATTTACACTCCACTTTGAAAGGGTGTTTTTTAGTGTTAAAATAAACTATTCACAGTCCCCCATTTTTTCGTGAGATCGTCCAAGTATAGCGCGTCTTACCGTTAATAGAGGCCATCTTGATTTTCAAATGTACCGAGGGGGCGGGCGTCGGGGATTATAGCTGTAGGGGAGGGGGCGAGAAAAATAGAGGGACTGTAATAACATCACTGCAGCTCGCGTTCACGGAGCTCGTTGTACCAGCAACGCAGGTGTTTGATTGGTCATTAGACAATAGATCTTAATTTGCGTTGACAGCCAGTTTAGTTTAAGCTGCCGGCACTGACAAGTCGTTGACAAGTCCAGTCGTTTCTATAAAACGTACGCTAATCCTAACATAATACTACCATAGGGAACGTCTTGCGCCAACACACGAAGGATTTTTGGTATTCTGAGGATGAATCACGTAAGCCAACATGCTTTTGAAGCAGCCCGGCCAGGGGAATGTTGTAACACAGTTTTTGCCAAACGAACTGAAATTTAACGCTACGCCGACGCAAAAAAACGACCTGTCAGAAATGCCTGGCTTTTTATCGGGAGGTTTAACCGTTTTAATCTGTAGTGTAGCGAGCATGCTTAGCGCGTCAATTAGGAAAATGTTTCACCTGTGCATGTGTGCCGATTTTATTTGGAGGAATGGCCCAGAAACTGTATCAAATCACTATTTCGAAAGGAGATATTTGTAAACACGCGAAATAGATGCTAAATGTGTTTGGCATGTTTTTAATCACCAGCGGAGTTTCTTAATTAATGAATGGTAAAAGGCGTGAAATTCCTGTCACGCCTCCTGAACGCGAGCTGCAGTGATGTTATTACAGTCCCTCTATTTTTCTCGCTTCCTCCCAAACCGCCCCCGTGCCATAAGTAGTTTTGAAACTCATGCAAGATGGCAGCCCGTAACGCAAAGCGCTCGATCTCGACGATCTTACGGAAAAATAGAGGAATGTGAACAGACTAAGTGTTAAAAGATTTTGACCAATCACAAGAGTTGAAAACAGTAGCCAAGAAAAGTTTACAATTTTACATGTTCCCCACATAGGATTTCTTTGTTATTCAAACTGAGACCAGATTTTGTTATATGGAAGATGGTTGGAAAGTATAAAGAATGAATACATGTACCGCTTTATGAAGTTTTGTTAACTTTTGCTGTTTAAGCCAATCAGAAGTAAGTGCAGACAATAGAAAAGTTAGCACCTTTTTTGCATTCCAACATGTTCGTTGCCGTTGTTGCTATCGTTCTTATCTGGACCGTTTCTTAAATTGTTTATCATATAACCTGCCCCTAAAGGTCTGCTTTCCACTAGAGAAGATTGATTTAAATACAATCTGAGATGCAAAGGATGCTATAGGCCCGAGGTAAAGACGGAATGTTTTAACAATACATTTTTAAAAAGATCAGTTTTTAAATAATACTATGATCTTTTATGATGATTTTATGTATAGTGATTATTTTATATTTTCTAACATTTTAAATCTTTCTATACTTTCCATGCTATGTATATTTTTACGACGGAATCCATCAGCAAATTGAGTGAAGTGGACAAAAACCTTGTACCAGAATGAAACAATATCGCTTCTTTTTACATTTTTCATGGGTTACAGATGTAATAAGTTATCTGTAATAACACCAAAGACAATTTCCTATGGGAACCCGAGGAAATAAATGTCAAATTTCACAAAATGAACCTTACAAATGAAATTTTCAGAATTTTACCTGTGTTTTCATAATTCTTGTGAAACTTGACAGTTATTTTCTCGGGTTCCCATAAAAAATTGTCTTTGGTGTTATTACAGATAACTTATTACATCTATAACCCATGAAAAATGTAAAAAAGAATGCGAAATTGTCCAAGTTATATTGGTACAAGGTTTTTGCCCACTGAAAGTTGAAATTACTCAATTTCCTGATGGATTCCATCTTAAAACATTTTACACCTTGTTTTACTTTTAATCTTTTTATACTTCCTTCCTACATTTCAAATCTTTTTATACTTCCTTGTTCTATTGCATTAATCTGAACTTTTTAATCCTTGTTCCTGTAGCATTAGATAATGTATCTTTATTATATAAACACCAATGAAATATCAGGTGAGCTTTTGCACAAAAACTTGATATCTTCACATGTGAAAATAACATCAGAAAGTAGAACCCATGCATCCAACATGGAATGCAGGAGTTTTTCTGCTAACTATAAGAAGTCATTGAAGACTGTGGTCACATTTAGAAAACAAGCAACTTCTGTTCGACCAGTAACAACTCTTTATTTCCACATACCCAGGGTTTTCCAAAAGTATCGTACAAGCATCTGCTAGTCACAAAAGACATTGACAATTTGGAAATATTTACCAGGTAATGTTTGACAAAATTTACTGTTGTTAACCTAATTCCAAAACCAACAATTAAAAAATAGTTCACTCTGTCAAACCTCAAAGGAACAGACTTGAGTGTTGGTAGCCATATTGGAGAGGCGTGAATTATTAATGTTTGACATCATTAGGACCAGTTAAGCTGTCCATAAAAAGATCAGATGTGTATCTGCATTAAATAGGTGTCTATAAGTTCTGCTGAAGAGGTTTCATTTGAATGGTAACACCATACAATTTCATGCACAGATTTCAAAGTTAAAGTGACAAATAATCTATCCATAATGTGAACTAGGAGAGAGAGGGCAAGTTTGGCTTCTATACCATCATCAGTTTTTTTCTTTTACTACTTTAGCCTGCAGTGAAGGGCTAGCTGCACATTTCTTTCTTTTTTCTGTTGAGCAAGCACTGCATCTTTCCTGAGTGAAGTCACCATATTTATTATAAAATATAAATACTAGCTTCCTGGAAAACCAGGATTGAGGATCAAGGATGCCTGATCCTAGATCCTGCTTCTCAGGAAACCATACTGGAAAGTACAGTGCAGAGGGTGTGATTGGTGTTTGGGCATAAGGCTTTTAATTTATAGTAACAAAGTTGGGAGATCAAGATCATGTCTCCCCTTCTCTTCGACTTGCACATCACTAACCCCCTAATTTTAGTGCTCAGGTGCCACCATATATTCCCCGCACAGCAGGCTACAAATTTTTTAACCCCATCGAGTAAGATAACATTTACATGCTACACTGTTGCTCATTTTTCAAAAGTGTTTTAAATGTGTCCATTTTTTTTAAATAAAAGTGAAGTGTTTATTGCAGTGTTCACTTGTTTGCCATTGGGTCCATAACCACACTCATACCAATGGAATCCTTGGATCTCTTTACTGTGTACCTATTGTGTAACAGAACAAAATTTATTCAGGGTATTTCTGCATCCTTTTTAATTTGCCTCTTCAATATGTGAATGGCAAAGCTAAAAATTAAAAAAAAAACAGTAAAATTTACAAGAGAGAAACTAACATTCTTTAGATAGAGCGGAATACACAAAGACAAACTTGGGGATAGTTTGGTGGGGGCATTTGCCCCTCTCCCACAAAAAAGGTTTCCCAGCTATTGAGTTTCTCTTAGGCTTGATTTCTGCCGTCTCCCGGGTCCGGTCTTGATCCTCCCCGAAGAGAGGGGATGAGTGCGGGCTCATTTTCCCGAACAGCGGCTGGTAATTGAGCCTAAGTTTCTCTCTACTTTAAATCATCCTGATCCATCCCTGGAATTATGATGCATGAACTTATGAAGCCAAACTGAGAAAGCAGAAGCTAAAAAAAGCACAGAGTAAGCACAAGAAAGGTGTGGTTTTACCTGAAACCCAAAAGGTTGGCAGTTTGTTTGTTTTCAAAATAATTTTCTTCATGTCACACTTTCATTCCTGCCAGCAATTCTAGCCATTGATGTAGTAAACTGTAGGCTGACTATGCAGGTTTGGTAGAGAAAAGATCACCTAGTATGACAAGCTATTGCAAACTAACTAAGGAGCAGTTGTAAATAAAATGAGCTAGGACTAACTTGGCAGCTGATGGAATAATAATAACATCATCCTTGCAGAGAACCTTGCTTTCACCATTTAATGTGACAGTTGCATCTCCTTCCTGAAGAGAAAATTATTAATATGTTTTTAATCCATTTGTTATTGGGCCACGTATGTAACGACAAGGTTTTAATGAAAGACTTATTAACAGACCTTACTGCATTTGTCACAAAGCAACAGCATTACTTGCTCTAGAATGAAAGCAAAGTTTAGGGGGTATAATCCAAAAAGGCTATTTCTAGCAAGCTCTACATGCATGCAAGTACATTTCTCTTTAACCAGTACAGATTTTGAGTACCACTACAAACTTGTGCATATATCTCTTCAATACGTTTAGGCCTCAGTTTAAGGATTCCTTTTACAGTCTTTTTGTTCATCACTTTTGTTTCAATGCGTATCTGGACCTCCTTCCTGATGATGATGTCTGGTGACATTTTGTGGTCCTTGTTGTGTGCCATTTTTGCCAGTTTTTTTTTTTTTTTTTTCACCCAAGTCTTGTTTCCATGCTATATTGGAGGGATTGTGACAAATGCCAGAAAGGTGTACTAAACACTTACTTTTTGACTACTAGGGGTACTTGTTTTACCACTATATCAGATAATTACAAGTTAAGTAAAAAAAAAATTCACATGCCACATGAAGTTAATTCACACAGCAAGGGCTAAACTTGTTCATTTATGTTATCAAGAAGGAACACATTGTAGTCTGTTAAGTTAAGAAAAAAAAATTATGTAAATCTTTGGAGAACCATCTGGAATAAGCCTTTGAGAAGAAAAACACAGTGGAAACACCACAATATTAAAAAGTGATTACGTCATTTGAAATCTCCAAGACAGATCCTGTTCGAACCACTTCCAACTGTCAATCCCAAAGGAATGTACTTTTGTCTTTTGCAGAGTTTAGTTACAGTTAAATGACACAAAAATGACAGAAAAGGGACCTACACCAGGGCCGGGTTGTTCAAAGAAGGGTTAAGTTAACCCAGCGTTAGTGCGAAATTTTATTTCAGATATGAAAGCTTTAGAAGCAAATTCAGTTTTATTCTTTCTGCCAACAATTTATTTGATGATTGAATGCTCTAAAAAGAAGGGAGGAAATTACCCAGGAAAATACTTTTGAACAAAAGAAAAAGAAACCTGGGTTAAAATTTAACCCTGGGTTAGTGCTAATCAGCCTTCAAACAACTGGGCCCAGGTGTTTAGCTTAGAGAAGTGTCTTGGAGATAGGTGTCTGCTAATATAAGAGACAGTTAATAGGGCAGATTTATGGGGAGGGTGCAGGGGGGTGCGCACCCTCCCCTGAGATGACCTGCCACTTTATAATATATTAACACTGCGCTGTTGCTTCACAGTTATACAAAATCTGCTGTATGTTTGACATGTTTTCTCAGCAGTTCACATTACGTTATTGCCTAGTCAAAAGCCTTCTCCATCGTATCCACTTTTAAAATTTGTTTACGTCACCAGTCAGTTACGCCATTTCCTTAGTGGTGGCGGCGCGCACCCCGTCCTAAGAAAAATCCTGGATCCACCCCTGAGTTAAGTGTATAAAAGTATGATTTATTTTGATGATTACTGTTATCAAAGTCCCATGAGTCCAATGACATTCATTCTTACAACTTACTATTTGATAAAGCCATGTTTCCCCTTCCCATTCACTAGACTGTTCGTCTTCACCATGTATGAAAATCTAAGAAAATGAGAAAATAGGTTCAAGGTTCTCATTAAAGAATTTGCTATTTAGTAAAATAAACGTAATTTATTGTATAAACATCAGTGAAATATCAGGTGAGCTTCTGTGCAAAAACATGATATCTTCCCACATGAAAACTACATTGTTATTTTCACATGTGAAAAGTTCACCTTTTCCATGGTTACATTATAACTCAAGCCTTTTGCAACCAAAAACTTTTTCAGTGAAATATTTTGGTTTTGCATTGGTGTTTACTTGATAAAGCTTTATGTTTATGGCTGCTTGGAAATAACAAATTTCTCTTCTCATGTTGAACAACACTCGAAGAGAACTTTCATACCTCCACAAGGCCATGTAATATCCACTATGTGTACTGGAAGATTGCAGAGATGAGTTTACCCATCAATAATAAAAACCAACAGAAAAGAATAATCAATCTCCAGTTGAGATGCATGGATTAGAAATTTCAGAGCTAATTTATAATTTCACATGTGAAAATACAAAATTGCCATGGCAACTTTCCGTACATCTCAGTGCCAAGATACATGGCAACGAAGTTTTTAAAATGTTATGAATGAAGCCGTCAGGGTACAAGACGCTGTATAAGGAAAGCCTAAACACAGGAAAGAGCACATCGAGAAGGATTCTTGCAGGTATTTTGTCGAAAATTTCTGAAAATTCTCAACTTAAGCCATGTTGACAATGAGAGTGTGGACTGATATGGTCCAGGATAAACATGTCCAAAATCCTTGCTTGCTAACGTAATTCGTCACCCACGATATTAATAGGTAATCAATGGTATACTTGTGAAATTTAGGAATAATTTCACTTGTGTTTTGTCCAAATCGTAATAATTTCCGGAGCCCTTACTCTTCACCATTTGATTACACATACAAATTCACTTGGTGCACTGTACCTTGAATTCTCCTTTACCAAACAACTCTTTGGTCCCACATTCAATTTCACCTTTGTTTTCAGCAATCCACTGAAATATAACGAAATTCAGACCAAATAATTACAAATTCGAAGAAGTACATCAAATAGTTAAGAACAAATTTCCTTTGGTTGGTTGATCACAAACCTCTTTCAAGGAAAAGGGGTTATCAACTGCCGTTGTAAGGTCGACTTTGACAGGAGGGTCCTTTGCAATATTTTCTGTGGGGTAAATTAAGCACACAAAGTCAAGTTTACCAGGAGCATCCTAACTGCAAGGCCACCTATTATGTCCCAGTCCTAGCATCAATTATTTTTCAAGGGACCAGGCACAACAAAATAGATGTACAATGTACTGGGTGCCTGGCTAAAACCAGGGTAAAATTTTTTCCTATGGTTTAACAGATCAAAACATTATATATTGTAAAATAAGCATACCAGGGTCTGGGATTCCAGTTTTGTATGCCTTGGATGAAAAGTATCTGGAGAAAAATCATGATAAAACACAGAGTGATACAACCCTTAACAGAAATCTTAATAAAAAAATATATCATTTCAAAAAAAGTAACAAGACTGTTACGATATTTTTCTCAGTGCCTTCCAGAAGGCTTCTACTGGACTCTTGGAGGACACTTAATTGTCCAATACTCTGACAAATTTATGCCTGGCATTGTATTGTAATGTCTTCACATTACAATACTGTACAAAAGCAATGACAACAATAAAGAACAAAGCAAAACAATTTAACAAAGCAATGAATAAATTTGTTGGAGTATTGGACAACTATGAACTTTTGCATAACAGTAAGTTGTAGAAGTGACAAGCCCTTAACCTCCCAGCTAAGGCAACAGGACTCAAAGACTTACAAACATTTCAGTTAGAATTTTAAAAAGCAGCCATCCAAATCTTTTCTTTTCCAAAATATGGTTGGGGGTGAGGAGTGAACAAGGCGAGGGTCTCAACCCCCTCTTTTCTGCCACAGACTAGAAACAAGGCCATTGGCTTAACACAATGTATTCAAACTTACTCTTTGATAATTGGAGGTAACTGAGTGCCAAGATCTTCACAGTGGAACCATTTTTCCCAAAGAGGTGTCATTCCATCCTCACAGAAGTACCTGACAAATAAAAGTAATTTTATACAATATTTAACTCAGTACAGTAATATTAATACAGTAGAACCTTGCTAACTCAAACTTGGATAACTAGAATTCTCTGTTAACTCAAACTAAATTTCCTTTCCCCTGATCAAAATTTCACTGAAATTTACCCCAATAACTCGAATTTCCCGCTAACTCAAACTGTTTTTGGTTTCACTTCAGAGTTTGAGTCACCAGGGTTCTACTGTAGCTGAAAATTATCTGACACATGACCTGACTCCTGGTTTAATTCAAAACTTGATAACAAAAAGCAACACATATCTGACGGAATTTATGTAAACATGGCCTCAGTGAGTGTCTACAGGTCCTATGCTAAGTATGTCCTTAGTACCAAGACTTTCACCCTCCCCACTCAGGACACTGGGTAACTGTCTGCACCTCCCACTGAGCTCTGCAATTATCATGAAAATTTTTGTCGGTAAAGGCCTGATTCAGCTGGCTAGGGCAAAGTAAGAACAAGGTACTTGCCCGTCAAAGCTTCTAGTAAACACTGCTGTTTACTGAAGGGGTTGTGTCAAAATAGCCCTCTCCCAGCCCCTCTAGTTTTGCCTCCCCCCCCCCCCCCACCCCTATCCCCCCCCCCCCCTTTTGGGCCAACCAAAAAAAACCCCCACCCTAAGGGCCCCTTTTGCCCCAAAAAATCTTTTTTATTCTTTTTTTTCTTTTTTTTTAAGGGATTCAAAAAAAAATTTAATTTTTTGGGTTTTGGCTAAACAAATTGATTATAGTTTCAAAACAATTTTTTTCCCCCCCCCCCCCCCCCACAGCCTGATCCACCCACCCACTATTAGGGCAAACCAAGAACAGCCCCAACCTGATGGGCCACTTTGGCTCAAATAATGCTTTTTAATCTTTTCTTTCCTTGTTCTGATAGGATTCAGAAGAAAATTAATATTTTGGGGTATTGGCATAACCAACTGAATTAATGGTGCATACAAAATAGTGACTTCAAGTTTATCACTCCCAACCCTCAAACAACCTGTTCCTTATCACTCTATTTCTCACCTTAATCCATCTGATTCCTCAGGTAGTCGCTCGCGCTCAATAACCTAAGGAAAAAGTGCTCGTCTGAGAAATTTAGGTTCTTTACAATGTAAGTCACTGTAACAGTAAATCGTTTATGACACACACAACATGTTGTGATCAAAGTACAAATCATTGATTACAATCAAAACTACTCTGGAGAGGATGATGGGCAGGGTATGGTAATACTGGATGCTGCACAATAACAACAAAAACAAGAAAAATGCAAACAAAAAATATCCCATGAAATATGGCTATAAACGTCATTTGGAGAGGTTAAAAACGAGACAACGCTGGCCAGTGGTCTACATCACTAACTCTTATAGTATAGGGTAGTTTTGAGCATTTTCAGGGCTCTGTTAATTTTACATAACTTTTTCTGGGATCAATCTTTTCACTCAAGTTGCCTTAGTGTGTCTTTAGCTGTTTTTGTTCCAGTCCTCCCTTCCCTCTGGATGTCCTTGGGTAAGTATCCTGAAAAATTCTCCACTGAGATTCCTGCGCTCATTTGCGGCTCACTCAGTTTGTCCAGGCACCTTCCCTACACCCATCCATTGTTGATGTTTAATGATAAACATTGTTGATTTAATAAATTTAAGGAGGTTCATTACCAGACCAACTGTATCTTCTTTACGCTGAGGAGAATGCGGTATTCTGCTTGGAAGTACAAATACCTAGGCAAAAGGACATTAAAAAAATCAGCTCAGCAAATCCTCAGCATATTATCCTGCCTGAGGAACTCTCTCACGCTATATACCATACAATTACTTCCGAAAATAAGCCCCATTAATTGCAGGGCTTATATTTTTCAAAGGCCCCTTTTAAGGGGCTTATGTATGGAGGGAAATTTGAGTTTCAAAATCGATTCAGCTAGCTTGTAGTGGGAAGGAAAGTTACTATTTTTACTTTGATTTTCAATGTATTCAAGGGCAAATTCCAAGAACAAGCCCCCCAGGGGGGCTTATATTTGGAGGGGCTTATTTTCGGAATTTTACAGTACTCCTTTCTTTTAACAGCAACAATTGTTACTGGTAATGAGCACAGTGTCTAGTGTCTAACCCACATCACTCTTTTACCGCTACTTATTTTACAATGTAGTTATGTATGCAGCAAGCTGCACAAATTCAAACTGATTTCATTTGGTACACCTTTTTCATGGTGACAAATTCTTCAGTATGCAAGAAGTGATTTGTCTTTGTGACTTGTCACCACTTAAGTGTGTTCCAACTGTGTTCCAGCTAAAACACGATACCATAGATGGAATTCACGTTACCTCTCCTTCTTTTATTATCACATCTTTTGGCTTCCCTTTCTCAATAATCTTCAAGCACATATCTCCTTTGATCATTGAAAAAAACTAACAAGAGATTCAATTATAATATTATTAAAATTTAATGAGATAAATATCAACAAAGCAATAAATATTGATTTTACATGTACCTGCAAAAAAATTCCTGATTATCTTTTTAAAATTTATTGATTGATCAGCACATAATAGCTGTTGAAGATGATCTAGAGGTACATTGTCAATAAAGAGTAAAGTGTCTTTAAATTCAGGAAATTTTGTTGAAGACAAACAGTGAAGAGACTGCTGATTGTAATATGACTACAGCAGACATAAATCTGGAGCTGTTCTTAAACTTTAATGAGCTTCAAGTATATTGGTGTACAAAAAGTGCTAATTATTTTAATAGTATGTTACAATTAATGTATGCTGTAGGTCAAAGAAATTAAGGTTAAAATGGTTCAGTCTAGTTTGATTATAAATTTTCATTGTCTCCTAGCCCTAATTACTACATGAATAAGAACATTGATAGCTTTGATTATAATGTAAATGAACAAATGGACACAAAGGACTAAGCTGAAACCCCTTTGACCTGAATTTTATTTTGACCTACAAATACTATTAGGCTACAAATAATAGACACCGTGAACCATTTAAACTTTAAAGCTGCAAGTTGAAGCTTTGCTAAAGAATTAATCGACTGGTTTAAAATAAAACGATTTTTGACTTGCCTCAAACTTGACCATTTTACTTCAATTACTGGTATTAAAATACATGACTTAATAAACCGGTAGTTCATTACCTCTTCTCCCTCATCAATGTGATAATCTTTTCTTACATTTGGCCCGCCTACACACATTATCTTAAGTTGCCCTGCCTCATACCTAAGAAACAGAAAATGCATTATACAGTTAATGGTTTAGGTTAAACATCCTGGAAATAATAATATTATTTCACCAAGTAGCTCATTCAATGTATTATCTTTATTCCTTTGCCCTCGATAATTTATTGATTTATTTTTTAAGACACATTAAGACCTTGTACAACAACATGCTAACCTAGCAGGTTTGTTCCATTGACTGACTTTATTTATTTACTTATTCATTTCAGTGCAAGATTGTGCACTGAGGACTCCAAGCAATGCTCAATGTTTTAAAGTGCCTCCTACCTTTCTTGTGGCTACCGAACTAGCTAGAAAACAATATTCTACCAAAGTAAAATATCTGCCGGTATTAATTAATTGCAGTTATTTTCTGTCCCTTAAAAACAATTTTTGTGCGCGTGGGCTGTTCTAAAGGTGGTGACATGCTTCCCAATCCACCACTACAACATGTAAATCTGTCCCGGAACCTTCCCTGCAGTACATAGTTGCAGAGCACCTTTATTACGTTCCCACTTAGCCCTACAGGGCCCAGTTGTTCAAATGCTGAATAGCACTCACTATCCTCCAGAAAAATCACTGGGTAGAGATTTATTCAGTAGATAGCGTTATCCACCATTTGAACAACTTGGGCCAGACTGCTTGTCTTTCTATTGAACCCATGTCTGCAAAATCTCCCTTGCAGCCATTGTAGTATCATTATGCAACACACCTTCCCACAGAAGCATTGCGTGACTACATTAACCCTTTAAGCCCCAATAGCCACATACAAATTCTCCAAACTGGTCTCTATACTTTTCCATAAAAAATAAGTTGAGAGAATTTGATAAAAGATCAAAGCATTTTATTTTGGTGATCATTTTATCAATTCTCACAACTTTTTCTCTTAATTCAGTGTATTGACATTGTTGGGAGAAAATTGGTGTTTGACACCCTCGGGACTTACAGGGTTAAATTGGCTGTGAGGGAGATGACTACAAAATGCAAAGTCCCACAGTTCTAAGTCTGTCCAATTGTAAGTAGTCTGAAATACATGATGGTAGCAGAAATTTTTGTACAGCTATGTGGCAGTGATGTTTTAGGGACTGAAGCTGGAAGAACGTTATTATTCTTATTAGTCATTAATGCTCAGGTATCCTATGGTTATTTTAATCCAACCATGTTCCTATACCCATTTTAGATCCCCATCCCCTAGACATGCCTGTTGGACACACACAATTAAAATTGATCATGATAAATTGACACACCAGTCAACAAGGTAAATGGAAACAACAGAACAAAATCTGAACAAAATGGCGGGAACAACGTCCACAGAGCAAAGGAGTCTGGGTAGAGAGTCTGCTTGCCTAGGTGTGCACGGCTCACTAGTCAATACGATAAAGTAACACAAACTACTAATGCCTACATGGCGCTGTGTCAATATTTATAATTAGCTAAAAGAAATACCAAAGTGTTAATCCATTCAATTATCAAAAAATCCCAGTGGGGCAGTTTAGGATATAATTTCTGTTAATTAGCAGATGTCTTTTCCGACCGCTAAAAATGCAATATATCTTTACATTTTCTGTGTTGATCACATAAGCTCTCTCTGATATTGCTGCAAGCATAAAAGATATGTATATTGGACATGTGAAAAGCATGTTTGCAAAGCAGTCCTGCTGTATCATACCACTTTTTTCAGACATATTTGTCAAATTATTTCCTTGAGTTTTGGAGAAATGATAGAGCGAGGATCTACATATCAAAGCTTAGGTACATAAATTAAAGCATACATTCTGCTCGGTACATTCGAAAAATTGACCGTAAACTGAATTAAAACTTGCCTAAGTATTTAGGATTAACTTAAACAATATTTGGGATAACATAACATGTATCCAGCAAATCAAAGAAATTCTTAAGGATACCCTGAAATCAAAGATAAATTTCTTAACATTCAAGTTTGAGCCTTAAAATAACATGATGCTGTAGTTACGCTGACTTGAGGACTTAACTCACATCATCTTGTTGCATACTGGCGGGAGAAATGAGCTTTTGTTGTCTTCGATCCACTTCGTTATGTTGATCGGATCTGCCAGCTGAGGATTCAGCTTCTTGGTATCATTTTGATCTTCAACTTCTCCGGCCCTCTTGGACATGTTTTTAGCAAAGGATGAAAGAAAGAGAGAAAAGACTGTTCAAAATGAACCCGCGAGGAACAGAACCCTCGAGCCGCAGCGCGCCACTGGAACTGGGGGAATAAGCGGGAATGCAGAAGCTGGAGGACACCCTGGGGGGCTTGGCGGGGACTGAGGGCTGCTACTCTTGCGCAGGCTGGGGGAGGGCCTCGGGATAACGTGAATAGGGAGGTTCCGCTTTTAAACAGCTACCATTTTTTTATTAAATGAAAAGCAACCGTTTTTTCAATAAACTAAAGAGTTTTTTTAACATTAAGAAAAAAAAACCAAAACCTGGCATCTCAGGGGCGGTTCCTTAATGAATCGGACAGACTGTCCCTACTCCCCTGATACCAACAAGCTTGGTTCCCAAGTTGTTCATTATTAATGAGATTTTACAGGCGTCTTTTGTCGGAGCTGTGGTTTCGAACTCCTGTCGTCAGTTTCATTTTTCTCAAGCTTTCTGCAAGTTTATCGAGGCGATCTTTGTGTTTTTTGGAGTAAAATCATCATGGCTTCACCAGCAAGTGTTAACAGAAGCTACGTCGAACAGCTGCGATTGGAGGCTAACTTTGTTCGCACTCCCGTATCCAAGACAGCGCAAGCTCTCGCCCAGTATGTCGAGGAAAATATGAATTCAGATCCGCTGGTTACTGGAGTTTCAAGTTCGCTGAATCCCTACAAAGAGAAGTCTTCGTGTACTTTATTCTAGCGTCGAACAACAGTTATATATATGCAGTGTGCGTGTGCTTGTGTTTTGTTGACTGTTGGCGCCTAGAGCATTGGTGTGCAGCATTTGAGGATATCTTTCGTTTTCGTTGGTTCTTGTCCCGCGCCTTAATTCCTTTTTCTTGCAGTTTGACTGAAAACTTATCGTCTGATCTACTGTTTAAACATTTTTTTTTTATCTGCACCCGAGTTTTGCTTTTGCTGTTATTGCAAGTCATCCAGATGTGGTTTTGTGATCTGTCTACTTTGTAAACAAAGAACTATCTGAGTAGCAACCGAGCTCGAATTTTGACCTACGTTGGAACTTAGCTCTGGAGAAGACTTATTTATTTGCCTGTTAGGGATGTACTCAAGAAACCCGCATACGTTTAATCTTATGGAAAACAAGCCAACAGATTGTGAATTAAATTTAAATTAGATTATTGTATTTATACAAACAGTTTTTCCATGAAATTGATTCTTGTGTGGGCTTACTGGACACCTGTAAGTTCACGTATATCATAATTTAATGGATTAAATGATTGTAATTTAAAAATCTATAGAGATTTTTCGCTCTTTGGGAGTAGCTACCAAATAACAACCACTTCAGGCAACTTGAGTTACATCAGTTCCTTGTGCTGGAATTCTTCAAAGAACAAGGGGTAAGGGTGCATTGGTGTCTTTGTTTTTTTTTTTTTGAGGCCGTTGTTTTAGTTTTTTGCCCAGAAGTTTGCAGTTTTTTTTGGTTACTTTTAGCCCCTTCTTTCTTGAGTGGTTTTACAAAAAGTTTTGTTGTTGTTGTTCGTTTTTTGTGTGTGTGTGTTTGGGGGGGGCGGGGGGGGACATATTTACTTTCATCATATTTACCTTTATTGGTTCATTTGTGTTAAGGTACAATTTCTGCAAAGTTTTAACCGTTCAGTCTGTAAGAGTGCCCAGTGTCAAATTCTTCTTTGTCTCAGTGCATATGGAAACACAGTGGTCTGAGAAAAAAAAATATATAAAAAAACATGATCACATAAGATGAATTTAATCAGTACTTTTGACAACTTTTCCCTTCTACTTCTATAGAAAATGTACAGGGGCAGCAAATGAAAATTTTCCTTTTGATATTAGGGTTTTGAAGGGTAATAAATCAGTTACAGTGCAACCCCCCCTCCCTCACCCCTTCAGGGTACCACCCCAATCAATATACCGCCCCCTCATTATTACAATCAGGCGCAAAAGTACATGGCTCCACTCTGCAAGGGCATTTAAGTTCTTTTAGAATCGAGAGTGACATTTGTAAATGTTGATCATTGAAGTAAATTATGCAACTTTTCAATATTCATCTACTTTAATTTGCGTTACTTTGGTGGATTTTTAACTATTTTCTTCCAGCCTCACCAAAAATGATAGGTCCTTATATTTTCTTTGTCCAACCATTGAAGTTAAAGGGCATGACAGAGCTGAACATTTCTTTCTCCAAGGATGTTATGATTCGAAATCATCCCACTTGCATTTATATTTTAGTCCATTACAATAATATTTCATAGAGCATTATTCAATTAGTGTGAGTTGTAAGACCACAAGAAAAGTAACTGTTGTTGCGGTTCTGCATATTTCTCACGCAATTTTGTTGCCAAAAAGAACTTTTTCTGTTTAACCAACAGTTGTTCTCGATGGTGGAAGTAAGAAAAGGACTTTACTCTTCCTTTTTATTTTCTTGTGTAAATCAGGTCAGCTTTTTGGCTTAGTTTCCGTAAGAAAGCACCAAGTTTATATCCAAAAAAGTCAATCATAGCATCACTTTCACTCTAATGTTAAGGTACTAAGTGCACAACTGTAAAATGCTCTACTGGATATAGAGTGAAACCTACTGTGAAATATATCATTAATTAATTGTTTATTTATTGTCATCTAATTTCGTTTATCAAGGAGATGTCTATGTAATAAAATTATGGAAATTATTAATATAAATGATTATAATATGTGGCACTGGTGTACTCTTGTACTTTATATTCATTCAACAATTGAATACTCAAATATGTGACACTTGTTTACTCTTGTTCGTTATACAAATAAATTAGTATAAATGTATTGATTTTAAATTTTAATAATTTTAAATTTTATCAAGTGGTTCAAACTCCTTTTATAAATATAACTAAAAACAAGGCAAAATAGCATTTAAATTAAGGTTAGAATTGAACCACAGCACATATACTGGTTATTCAGAGGATTTCTTAATTCCTTTTGTTTAAGAAGAGGCTCAAAAAAAATCTTTGAGACCAGGATGTAGGAGAATAACAGCCATTTTGACATGATTTGGCTTGCTCTAAAAACTCTCACAAACAAATTCTTATTGCCTTTGATGAGTTGCTGGGGTTAATTTACAGGTGATGTTCCAGGTGTGACCAAAGGTGCATTGATTAAGGTCAGGGTTTGAGGTAAAGGATCTTGGGTCACACCTGGACACCTGTAATTAAGATAAAGTAGCAGCATATTCATTATCATTTAAAAACTAAAATTTTTTTTAGTTAACATAGAACAAAAGAGAAAAGGTGAGTCATGGACCCTTACCCCAACACACACCCACACCTTTAGATCCTTTGACACGATCGTTAGATTTTTAATTTTTTGCAAGTGTTTCATCAAAACCTTCAGACAAATTCTATCAAAAATGTTATTTAAAGAAGAGAATTGTAAATTACAATTTTGAAATGTATTAACATGTGTACGGCGATCTTCGACAGTTTCCGTAAACTCTCGGGAATCTTCGTACTACTTCCGTTTTCCTTACTGCTCATACTCGGTAGGAAACCTCACCCACTGCTCGGCTTTCATTTTATGTGTTGTGTGTGAAGATCAGACTCTGTAGCGGCTGTAGCATCACCCCTACTGTTGGAAAGAGAAGTATTCCAGGTGACAGACACAGTCTTAAAGCGTTCAGCAGGCCTTTCCTTGCCTTTTGGATTTCATAATGTCGTATGTTACTACAAGTGAGACCTACAGACTTCAGAAAATCGTAGTGGATCAGCTTAGAACAGAAAAGAATGTGCGCCGCATCAAAGTGTCTGAAGCCGCAAACGAACTGAAAAGCTACGTGGAAAAAATCCAGCGAGAAGATCCTCTGGTGACTGGCGTTCCGGGCAATCAAAACCCTTTCAAAGAAAAGAGCTCTTGTACTCTGATCTAGAACTTCTGTGCATAAAGATCACGCTGCGATCATGCGCTCGAATCGGAATGCAAGATCAATGGATAATTTTCGCTAGTCTCGTTTGTATTCTCCTTATGTATGTATGCTTTGTTGACTAATTCTTTGGATTGTCCGACTCTCGTGCTGGACTTTATCACACGCGATTTGTTTCTGTTCTTGAAGGATGTCCACGCCATTCATTGGAGACTTTGTTCAACAAGAAAACATATCGAACGCGAAGAGTGGCTTATGCAGACCTCTGTTTATATCAGCGACTCACTTAATTGTGAACATTTCTTGTATTCTCGAGTAAGGTGAATGGATGATTCTTCCTTCTGCCTGCCTCAAATGAACTATGATAATTATAATTTTTATAAAGATATAAGCGGTGTTCATCAGTAGTTTTGGGCGAGTCACTGAGCGAAATGTATCTTGTCAAAATGGGTAGGGGGAGGTAATATCATTATAAATGACTCCTTATGTCTATAGTGAAATGGAGTTTTAACACGAATAACACCTCTGTATTTTACTGGAATGATTGTATAGTGTATTAAAGGACTTATTTGGTTGTTTCTTACGCAAAATCCGTGATACATAGTTGATTTTTTGTTGTCAGTGAGAAAGGGGTGTCTACAAACCAAAATATGTAACTTAATTTTTTTTCCAATTTTCAGTTATTGAAATGAAGTGTGGTTGAGGAGTTTTCGAGTGCTCATGTGTAGATGTGAGGTCTTGTGGTTTTTAATCCACGCTTTTGTGGCTTCACAATATTTTTGTTGGCTTGCAGGACTGCATCTCTTGAACTTACACACTTTTGAAACTGTCAGGGAAAATAATATGTTGTTCCTAAGACCATTTGCTTAAAAGCCATAAGTTATTTTTAAAGATCTTGGTAATTCACTATCACTGTCACTGCAGATATTTGTGATAAATTGAGTTTGTCAGTCATAATGCCATGATTGGGGACACAGTGTATCTAAAAATGGAAAGTCACTTGGATTTATATTTCTTGCACCCAGTATGCTTGCAGAACAAGAGACAGTAATAACTGGGAGGGAAAAAGTGATCCATACTTTGATTTAAATGTAAAAAGAAAACCATCTAGTGGGGATAAATGTTTTCTTTTTTACTTCCCTTATGATTTGACTGGTTCTGAAGGATCCCAAGAGAAGATTCCCAGAAAAATATAAGAAGGACATTCAGCAAAATATACTAACAGAATAACTAAGGGTCTCATTTCAGAATTCAATCCACAGCTGTCATTTTCTCTGGAAATTGCACCTGGCACTTTGTCGCTTCTTATATATTTTTTATTACCTCTGAAGTTTACTTCAAAGTGAGGGAAAAAGTTACCTTATTTAACATAACAATTATTAGGATGCAAATGGTAAAACTGTTGTTTCAATTATTTCTTTGCACATTTTGTTGTCTTGTAAAGGCCATGTCATGGTTATTCAGATGGTTGCATTTCAATTATTACAGTGGGTACCAAGGAGCTTTGTCGGCCCCAGTCTGACATGTCTTTGGCCTTTGGCCAAAGAAACGAGCAGTGAAGCCATGAGAAAAAGCACGGGAAAATCTTTTCACATGGGTCACTCTTTTAAGACTTGACTGAAACCAGAAACCGCACATGAAAAGCCTCTGGCACCCAGGGTGCATTTCAACTGTCTTGTACGTCACCATTTCCAGTGACGTAAGACAGTTGAAATGCAACCATTTGTAACTACACACACCCACCCAACCTAAGAGGGTCTCAATGATTTGATGTTTATTGTCTTCAGAAAACAGCAGATACCCCTGGGCAGCAGATCTGCTTGAGAATAAGGTTCTGGTGGTTTTGCCTGTGACTACAGGCTGTGATGGCTGAAAAAAGAGGAGTGAGGATGAAAAAGCCCAAAAAGCATTGCTATCCACAATTGCCAAATAGGGCTAGAAACAGAAATTCCTGAAAGCTGGTTTTATGAATCTTTAATTTGAGTCATTGAGTTATGAGTCATGGTAGCAAGTTTTTATTAGGCCTTGAATTAGAGTTAGGTGACTCATGGCTCATTGACACATTTACGCTGTCTTAATTTCGCACTATGGCCTGCTCCAGGTATTATTCAGATGGTTTGAAATGGAGAGCAGAGGAAAAACTGCAGAAGAGAGCAAGGAGGAAGAGTCAGGATCAGGGAATTTTTTCCCTTGTTTCGCCCTAGCATTCTCCCTACCCCAATCTTTTCCTGCTCGCTTGTCTTTTTCATTGTCCCCACTATTTCATTTCGAACTCCTCAGTCCTGGAACATGCTAAAAGCCCATTTTGCATGTACAGCTGACTACAGATGGAAACGAGGCTGGAGTTGACTTTGTTTTGATACAAACCTTCCTGCTTTTTTATGTAATAATCATGTTGTTCTTATCCTAACCATTATTTTTCTTGAAGCGTAGCTTTCATAAGAAAACAAAGGAGGTTTGTATCAAAATAAGGTCAACTTCGGCCTTACAACTATAAAATGCTATAAAATCCAGTCCATTGCACTCCAGCTGCGTTACCTCTCTTCAAAACCTCTCCGAAAGGCCTGGGACTTAATACATGTAAGAAGGAAACATGGCTTCCTATGAAACCGAAGAAATCGATGTTGCCAAAGAATTTAACCTTCTTCCTGTAATATTTGAAACGATTCAAGCGTTACAGAGGACTAGTGATCCCCAAGAGTTAACTAAGAAGGTAGCTTGTTAAATATTTATGTCTTTTAAGGGGAATAACTGCCAAGAGTTTAACACGGCGGCTATTAGTAGTAGTTCAAATTTATGAATGGAACTTTTCAGATGTAAAGAGATTTTGCTACCCATTGCCAGCTTTTCTCGTCTTTTAAATTTTTGAGGGAGTAACTGCGGAATACCCTGCCACTTGGACTGCGGTACTGAAAAACAAAGGCTACGCAAAGTTTATATTTCAATTTCTTTCTTTCTCACTCCGTACTGCGTAGCTACAGCGCGTAACAAAGAATGCAGTTTTTAATTTATTCCTCACTTAACTTCTTAAGCCTGGTTTTCACTAGTGCATAAGCATAAGCACAAGCACATGTGTAAGCAAGTGAAAACTGCGGCGACATAAGCATAAGTATAAACACAAGAAAAACGGACATGTTCGTTCTCCTTGTGCTTATGCTTATACCGTAGCTTTGACTAGTGAAAACGGGGTTGACATAAGCACAAGCACAAGGCTGTGGACCAATCTTAGGTCACTTTGACCCATCCTGAATTTCATCTGATTACTTCGAGTCATTATTAATCCCTCAGTAACGTCTGAATCAACTGGCCATTAATGCTGTTCAGTGACGACACTACTCCTTTGTTTAATTCATGCCAAAAGTAAAACACGATTTTCAAGTGGCAAACCAAGAAATATTGTTTGGAAATGTCTACATGATACAGAACAGCTGACAGAATTGCTTTACTCTTGTCGATCGTAATTCATGTTAACCGTTCAAACTATCAAATGCATTTCAGTACTCTGAACCGGTTGTAATTCAAACTCAGTCACAATCATGCAATGATTTAAGTAATGATACAGGTAAGAAGGGAAGCAATTTGTTTTATTGTGGCGCAATACGCTTTCCTCACATAGAAATGTTTTCATTTTTATGCAGAGAATGCATAAATCTACAAAAAGGCAGTTTACGAAAGGAAATGTATTTGAACTCCACTTTAAAAGGGTGTATTTTTGTGTTAAAACATTTCGACCAATCACAAGAGTTGCAAACAATGGCCAAGAAATGTTCACAATTTTACACGATCCGGACATATGATTTCTATGTTACTTAGACAAGATTTTGTTATAAGGAAGTTGGATAGAAAAAAAGGGATTAATATACATGCTGCTTTTCAAAGATTTTGTAAAATTTGATGTTTAAACCAATCAGAACCATGGTAGAGACAATAGTAAAGTTAGCACCTTTTTGCATTCTGACGTGTTCACTGCGTTTTGGTCCTTTCCTTCTTATCTGGACCATTACCTAAATACACACACAGAAAACTTAGTTAAAAAACACAAAAATTTCCTTTAATTGAAAAGAAGCTTTTTGGTCATTAACGAAAAAAACGATGAAATGAAAAAGAAAAGCTAACAAAATCATTACACTTGATGGTGAAAATAGCAAGAAGGTCAAATGACAAGATGACATTGGTGTCAGAAACTTCGCATAAACAAAATCACTGTGGCAACCACAAAGTAGCTCTAAATGAAAAACCTACCGACTCTCAGCAATGATTCTTCATTCACAGTTCAATTTAGCCATTCAGTTTTGAAGACAAGGGCAGTTTTGCTGTTTACGATAAAGATTATTGAAATGTTTGAACTCCACGCAAGCAGGCCACCAATGTGATCCATTGAATATCAAGCAACAATCCTGCTAAAATTTCTCATAATTATACATAATTATGCAAATGTTAAGACAATAAACCAATCAAAATGAATTACTCAATCTGCCATGTTTTGACATGGCAAGTTAGTCAAGTTGTAGGTGCAATGCAATCATGTGGGAAATATCACACTTCCACTGTCCATACTCAGGGCTGTCATTAAGAGGCGTGGACCGGGGATTTCCTCCGGCTACTATGAATGTAGCCCCCAGCTACTTTCATAGGAAAATAGAAGAAAAATAGAACCAAAAGAAATCCCTAGCTGTTTGTGAACTTATGTACCCAGCAACTTGAAATCTTGGTGGCAGCCCTGCAAATTTTTGAAGCTGGAGGAAGGTTTGGTTGGTTACGCTTAATTTTTTTCTTCAACAACAGAGAATTATAATAATAAATATGTTGTTCAATATCAATATTGTAGGTGAATACTTTCCGCTCAAAGCTCCAACATTGCAGAACTTTACTGGACAAGATCCCTGGGCTGGAAATGAGTGGTGAGGAACAGAAAGAAATGTTGAACAAATATCAGGCCCAATACAAAGAAAAATGGTGAGTCCTGAACTTAATCTTATTATTTAGACATACACATAAAGTGTTTTGTTTCTCTTTCCTTCATTTTTGTAAAAGTGCCATGGTTGACTGGTCCGCAGGCATAAAAACTACTAACTAGCCATGGGATCATGCTATTTAGCTTAAATAACAAATGATCCCACAGCTTGTTATGATTTTTTTCCCAACCAACCAAAAGCAATGCTTGTTTGTTTTTCTCTCTTCAGTGAGCTTCTTAGAAACTATAGAAATCTACCAGTGTTTGCAGAGGCATTCTTGAAGGAAACAAAATCTTAGTCAGTAAGAGACAAGGCAACAAAGAAAGCTCCAGTTTTGGAAGAGGTACATCCCATGCACAGGTCAGAGAACTTAAACTGGCCATCTGAGTGGGATAAGTTATTAGAAGGACTTAAGAGTATTTCAGAAGCTGGTGAACTTAACAGATTACAGTATGCGGCAACAGCTTGGAAAATGGTTAATGACATTATGTTGCCACTAGGAAGGATTATCTTTGTTGAGTTGGCTCAAGTGGTGGTACAATGGATACCTCAAGACTCTTGTTATTGTCATCTTAGTAGCGGTCAGGGCTGTGCTCTGGCAGTGCCCAGTGTCCCCTGTTGCCTTTTTTCGCCTCTAGGAGACTAGGAAATCTCAGTTTTTACATAGAAATCAGAAATCATATGCTGGGCACCCTGGATTTCACAGGTTCAGAGCCTAGGGCTCCCTAGAATTTTTCATAGACCACAGCCTTGGAGGTGTACACTTACCAGTGATATATACCTTGTGCCCAGGCATAACTTCTCACTACATGCTCCAATGATGAGCTTACTTGTAGGCTAGGCTTGGGTCACGGAATAAAATACAGTGATTTATATGAAATTGTCCAGCCAATTTTTTCTTGCCTCCTTCTAAACCATCCCCTGCTCCCTAAGTAGATAAGATGGCTGCCTGTAAGGGTGAGTGTTTGGTCTTGACAATCTTACAGAAAAAGAGGAGACTCTGTTTCACTGTGTGCTCACTGGAGCAGAGTGTAGGGAAGGTCTATAGAGAGAAGGCAGGAATTGTACCTGTATTAAGTAGACCTCATATAAAGGGGACACCCCTGCCTCCTCCCCAGGCACTTTCTATGTTGCATTGAGGCAATTGCAAAATGCAAGTGACTGATGATGAAGTGCAATATACCATGGGAAGGACAAATAAGAAAGGAGAAGCAACATCTTGCCCATTGTCTCCTTCCCACCTTCCTTTCCACACAAATTTTTAATGAGAGAGAGGTGTTGGGGTATGAGGCAGGGGATACCCTGTACTAGCAGACATAAAAGTGTATAATTCCTATACTTTGTTCCCATATTTTCTGTATATTAAACCTGTATTTAGCAGACACACAAACACCAGTGTGTGTCTTGGTGGGTGTCTGCACAGCAGAGGTTTCACTGCATCTTTAGATCATAGTGGACTGTCTATTACAGACAGCAGGTGTTCTAGTTATTATTTATTTTGTGTGTGTGTCCTAGTTATATTTTATGCCCAGGGGGTACTTTTTGGAAATCTTTTAGTGGGATGTGCCACTGGAACCCTCTTAGCCTATACAAGCCCTAGTTTAGGTTAATTTATTAACCCCATACTAGAATAAACTCCCCAATCCACTACATATCCTAGAATCGCTGCTTTCCAGAAGCTACTGAGGTCAATGCTTTTTAGCTATTGAATTGAGTTGCAGTTAGATTATAATTAAAGTGTTAACTCCTGGTTTCCCTAGTCTTGACTAAAATTTTCAACTAGTTGATCAGTTTCTTGAAAAATGATACCGTATTCTATTCTGATTTTGATATCCTATCCCAGACTAAACTGCTTCAAAAACATACCGTTCACAGCGGCGCATACCTATATAGCCCATATATGGCAGAACCCCATGGGATTTTATACAAATTTCTTCTTTGTTTTTGGTTTCCAGAACAGAGGTGTCCTTATTCTTTGGCCCATAGACCAAGGATTAAGGCTTCTGTAGTAAAGACATCCTTCCAGGAGGTTCAATACTGAATATTTTCAATCTTTGTATTAGCTAATTCCTTTTTCTGGAAAGAAACTTCTACTAGCAGTGTATGACAAATAGTTTATAAGGAAAATGAGAAGAAAGAACATACAGATAATTTCATCTACAAGATTGCTGTGAGAGCTCTAAAACACAGTACCAAAGAATTTACCAAATTTGTACCAAATCTTAACAGGCATTTTAAATGCAGCACAATTATGCCTATAATGAGCATAATTTATTAGCGCAAAGGTATTTACCCTAATACACATTCTGATTCTAATTACATGTACTTGAATTCTGCATAAGGCGGTGAAACAAACTTTGCAAGAGGTCTGAATTTAACTAGTCAAATTTACATTAACCTGTGTACAGATGTCCCCTCCTCTCACAATTTTTTTTTGAGGGGGGGGGGGCATCTGTACACAGGCTTAATCTATATTAAACAGTGACAATAACTGAAAGATGTCTGAAACTGGTATAAACATCATATTATGTATAATTATTCTGAAACATGTAAATTTATGTCTTCTCAACTAACCACAACCTTCCACTCTCAGCAGCGATTTCACTGTAAAATGTTTGACTCTCACAGACATTTTGCTTTTTCCTGTCAATGAGGCTATGTAACCACATTACTGGATAGGGATTCTGTTTACACGTAAAATCGGTAATTTCGGCGCGATTTCGTGACTCTTGAAAGTGGAGCGTCACATGTTGGATAGGTTCTGTGCCAGACTTAGAACAGGTTTTCAGACCCTAGCGGAAGTGAATAAGTAGGAGGGAAGCCTGTAACACAACAGAACGGGAACGAACGGGAACGTCATTTGACGACGGGAAAGCGCGCGGTAAGGACTAAATTCGACTTCCGGTGCGCAATTTGCAGCTCTGCCATTGGTCAAGCCAGACTGCGCGCGCAGTCGTCAAGCAACATTCCCGTTCTGTTGCTAAATCAGCCTAATGTGTTTGAACGGCATGTCGCAGTCCCGGGCCGTTGCTGTTCACACTATAACTGATAGCTTTACGTGTCGACACGAAAAGTTATCTGGTACAGTGTAGATATATCCTGGGGAGGTAATCCTTATAATGGTCTATACCAGGCTACAGGTATATGAAAGGGTAGGGATTTTACTAGTTGAATTATATGAAAGGAAAGGGAAATCAGTCATTGCGGTCTGTAAAAAGGCCCGGAAGGGCCAGGAGATGCATTTTATGGCTGTGAAAACGTCGAGAAAACGTTCTGTTTTTACGATTGTGCATATTTTAAAGACAGTGAATTTGCAGCCGCTAAAAGGGATCTAAAATTATTAACTAGGTATGTCAAAGAGGAACCATTTGTTAATATAAAGTATACAAAAGAGTGCCTTTTCTGTGAAAAATGTTATATAAAAGGGTAAGGGGTTAGACTTCGGAGCGGAGCCACTCGTTACAGAACTCTGTTGAATCCTCCCCCCGGGAGACTTACCCTTGTTTGCAGATGAAAATAGATCGTGCGATAACGCATTGCCTACAGTACAGTGCAGTTCGTTTTGTTTACATTTTCAGTTGTGAGTGCTTGATATTTCGGGAAAATTAAAGAAATGTTCTATTATGTAAGGGTTGGTTTTATTGTTAAATATATTTCGTGAGTAACGTGAGCACAAGTTATAAACGATTATTTGGCCTTCATACTTTGTATCAACACCAAAACTGAGTGACTAAAACTAGCCTTAATGGTATTCTAATTTTGTCTTAAGGAACGATAAGTTTCTCCCAATAGTATTTCGTTGTTTAGCCTGTGTACAGCCGCCCGCTCCCCTCAAATAAAAGGGAGTATGAGCAACAGAGTCAACCGTAAGTGGACTTTTTGCATCATTGGGCAGTGGTTTGGTTCAAAGTCTCGAGTAAATCGTCTTTGTAAGAGAAAATACAAAATTGATAGAGTCAAGGCATATAAAAGGGGCAAGGCCTCATTTTCGGTTGACGTGCGTCTCTCAAAAACGTCTTTGCTTAAGCTCCCCAAAATCGAGGGGGAGGGGCCGGCTGTACACAAGCTATACGTTGTCATGATTAAGTAATAACAAAGCATACGCTTTACCTTATTCCCTCAACTTCTGCTGTGTGGGCAAATCGCCACGCTAGTTTTATGGTAGAAGAAGAAAACGGCTAATCAGAACAGGAAACACCCTTGATTGGTATTTGGTATTGTTCTCCTTCAACTACGAAAATGATTGGAAAAAAAGCGATTCAACCGAACTAGCACCAACGACATTAACATTTAGTTTCTAGGGTTACACGAAAACTGTCTTAATATAGCGCTCAAAGCATGAAGTTTGGCCTTTTTCACAAAGTTTGTAAGAAACTATGAGAAAAATAAGAGTAACTAAAAGGAATATCAGAATCATTTCCTACAAAAAACAAACAAGAAAAAAGCTGCCTACTAAGTGATAAGCTTTCTTTGAGCTTCTATCTGAAGCTACTATAGTCAATTTAAGGTTACATCCATGCCGTAGAAAGTAAATAACTCCATAATTTCTTTGTCGATGTTAAAAAGCCTTATTACGATAGGTGATAATATTAAGCATACTAGTCAATGGTTGAATATTTTTATCTTCCAGTAGGAACATATCTACGAACTAAACTGCTCTAATCAACCCATTGTAGGTTATTAGTAAAGACATTTAACTTTTTAATCTGTTTTCATTAATTTAGTTTTCACGGTAGAAATTTAAGAGAATTCTTTAATGCAATTATAGCGCTAGTTTGTATCTAGTCCTGTGAAACTGATTATACAATTAGCATAGACTTTTTTTTTAACGGTCATTGTTTTTTAACTTCTTCGAAAAATTTAGGCCCCCTAGGCCTAAAGTTTCAGTCAGTGTTCTTACAATTTTAGACCTTAAGAGTCCAGAGAGTGCCGAGGGCGGTTAAAGTCTTCAGCACCGTGCAAGCGTATCCAAGACATCCGTGGCTACTAAGAAGGCCTCTTGAGCTTGCTGAGAATCTGTGAACACTTCGGCTGGAGCCCTCGCTGGCCTATATTTGTTGGGGTACCTAGTGGTGTCATAATAAGAGGACAGCTTGGCAACCTGTGGAGTTACATCCGGGGCTCCTGGCAACAAGGACAAGTCAAAGGCCAATTTCACCAAGTCGTGGCTGCTAAGCTGGCTCTCCGCGACTCCTGATAGTGAATAAAGTGCTGCTTTGAGAGCTTTCTCGGCAACTTGATGGCACTGGAAACACACTAGGTAGTACAGTGGATCTCGAGCGGTCAAGAGGTGCTTCACGGAACGAAGGTCCTCTCTGCTTTGACTCATCCAAATCCTAGACAGGGTAGGGTCGCGTCCTGTGTAACGTCTCCTGGATGATGACGAGTACGCGAAGCCTGAGAAACCAGGATTGCTGCGACGGAAGTTCTCCCAGCTTGAACGCTCTCGCCGAGCCCTCTGATTGCAGTTCCTAAAAAAGTCCGAGAAATCTGGCCGTGCGCCCGCAAAGTCATCTTCATGACTTCCTGACCCGCCCTTATTTAATCGGTCAACTTCGTTGTGAATAAACTTCATGACTTCATTTGCAATGTCTTGCATGTCCATGTTCTTATCCGGATGCCAGCGGAGGTAGAGTCGTCTTAGAGCTTTCTTCCTCTTATCCTCTGGAAGCTTCCAGATTTCTTTCAAGGCTTTCCGAACTTCTTTAAAGGCATCTTCCAACGTTGTCGGTTTGGGGCTTTCTGCTGCACCTTGGGATGATGCCGACGGTTGCGCTTTAGATTTCTTGCTTTGTTCACTATTCCCACTGTAAGGCACAAGCTCCATTGACTCTGAAACAGGTTCATTTTGCATTTTATCCTCGTCGTCAAGGTTCTGTTTTGGTGGCCTCTTTATCTTGTACAGATTTAACACATCCACCTCCTTTCTCTCCTGTCCAATATCTATCAGATACCTGCTTAGATAATTGTTTTCTCCTTTTTGCTTCCTCTTCGTCCGATCCTTTTTCGGTTTGACAGGATGTGACGTTTTGATGAGGTGGATGATCCTTGCGTAGATGTACTTTGGTTCTTCATCTGTGGAGTCTTCCCTTTCAAACGCAACAAATTCTCCTGTCCGAAAATAAAAATCGTCAAATTGTACAAGAAGGTAGTGTAATTCTTCTGGAACTACCGAGCCAAGGTCTGGTTCTAATTGTTGTGTGGCACTCCCCTCCACGTCTTCTGCCACATCAGCGTTGTCTAAAGTGGATGGAATGTCGTCGGGTGTTTTGCAGTCTAAAATGGCGGCCAGATGCAGCCAGCTTTCTTCACTAATGTAACATCCAGTCAGTTGGTTTATCTCTTTACACAGAACCCTGCGAACGTTACTAGGATCGGCGCCATGTTTGATGAATATGTGCTTTGTGCCATTTTCCTCACCCACGAAACACTGAATGTGCTTCGAACTTTGGCTCTTTGGGATCGATGTATTTGATTCAATCTCTATTAATTCAGTGGACAATACTTCCATGCAACTCATGCCTAGTTCTTTTTGAAAGCTACAAACTTTGTTGCGAACTTTCTCGTCCAACTTGGCTTTCTGAAACTGGTACTTAAGTATTCTCAAAACACCATCCACAAGCTGAGGTGAAAAGACTACTTGACGAAGTAGATTTGTAGCTTGGCATTTCTGCTCCACATCAGCTCGGCACTTCTTATCTTTGCAGTCCGGTTGAAGTTGCTCCCTCACTAGTGATGCCAACGATGTTGTTTGCAGGTGAATTGGTAGAACCTCAACAAGTTGTGCAGGAGTAGCAAAATTTAAGTTATATTTCGTTAAGCTATCGAGGAACTGATATTTGCATTCCCGGACGCGGCCACGGTACCGAGGACAGTCAAACAAGACCAAATCTGTCGAACGTTGAAGTTTTTGTTGTTCGTTTGGAAGATAGAGCCTCTTGATGGCAGAAAGAGGATTGTCTGGGCATCTCTTTTCCTCCTTATGTTTCTCTTGCCAGGCCCATAAAGTAGAAAAAAGGCCAAACACAGCATGCTTTGCGATTGTCTTCTCGTTGGCATGCATCTCCTCTTCACCACATGACTCTTTAAGACGATTCAGGAGTTTTGCAAACTGCACCGGAGTTGCTTTTTCCATTGCTCCGAGTCGCTTGAACAAGTGCTCGAAAGCTCCGTATTCTCTGGGGACTCTATATAGATATGGAGGTAGTTCTTCATCAAGATCATAGGCCAACTGGTCACAGCGAACGAAAACGCGCCCACCTTCTACAAGAATGCAAGGACTACAATAAAGCCGCTCGGTGATTGTTACACAGGCTGGTGTGTGTGACTCAGAAGAATCCTTTGCCCCGCAATTGCTCGATTTTGAGAGAAACGTATACACTTCAACCATAACTTGACTTAGCAGTCGACGTCGTGGTTCTGGTTGTTCTCGATCTTCTCTCTCAGCAAGATTCCTTGACAGATTTACCACATTGTCCACGACTTGATCTAAAGTGGGCTTCTGGCAAACTTGTAGTTTTGAAAGCTTTAAAGACTTGTTGTCCGGAACAGCCCAGAGAGGTAAAAGACACGCTGTTGTCCAAACCAGCCTCTCAAAAGCTTGTGGTGTTGAATTCTTAAAATGAGCAAAAGGTGGAAGCTGCTCCTTATTTCCACTGTCAACTAAATACTGTTTGTGAAGAATGACTAGCTCATCACTTGCCTTTTGAGAGGCAACAAATTTGATTGTAGAGAGATTGTATAGGAATATTTCATCATGTAGAGACTCCTCCCTCAAAAGGTGTTTTACCAGCGCCTTAGACTTCTTTTCTAACGCAGGACGACTTGACTTGTTTGTGTGTCCTCCTTGTGTTGCCACTTCGTTGGCAAAAGTTAAAAAGAGATCTTTGCTTACTTCTTGCTTCAACCCAATTTCACGAAGGAGTGCTAGCCAGCCAGAATGCTCATCAAATGGTTGTGGTGGCTTTGAATTTGGACCCAACATCACTGCAAAAACTTTCACCCCTGGGTCATAAAAATGAGACGCTGTGCGCGGTATACCAGACGCGTCTGGAATGAAAGCTAAGCTTTGTAAAGAATGTATTATCCTAGGACGTTGGCTTTCATTGAGGAATGATTGAAGTAGAAATCGTCTAACGTAGTTTAGGTGAAGCATTCGAGTTTCTTGCTTAAGCTCTGGAAACTTTGGGAAGATGAAGTTGATGTAACAGTCTGTGTGAGTCTTCTCCCCTGCACCTAATAGCTCTTGATACAGGCGGTTAAGCCTTGGTTCAGGTGCCAAGAACAAACAGTTATTCCCCGTCATCCAGACATCTGATTCCTTCTTAGGTAGCCCTGTTGGGACGACATAAATTGACGAAACATTTTCAAGGTTGACAAATAATCCATGAAACGTCTTGAAAAATGGCAGTCGCCTTAAAGTTGATAAATGCAGGCTCCTTTTCAACGACGTTACATCTTCTTGGAGGAACTGCAAAATAGAGATCATATCATCGCCAGATAGCTTCCCAGATATGTCCGTTTCTTTCATCACGTGGTCTAGCACACTGAGAATATCCTCCGAAGAGTTTGGTTGAGATAGATACTGTTTGAATATTGGCGACACATCCTGCGTGTCGCTACTGCTGATCAGTTTGGCATCAACCTCTTGGCAATTAAGTGTAAGTAACAGTCTTACGACGTGTTCTTGGCCAGAAGACCACGTTTCTGGATTCGTCAAGTCAAGGATAACTTTTCCTTTTGAGAGAGGAGCTAACTTGCCCGACTTGGTGGGTAGGACTGGCCATTTGCTCAAGGGGTCAAGAGAAAACGCCGTCGGGTTCTTTTTGTGAGCCTTGATTATGAACTCCCAAAGTCTTCGTAGCCATTTTTCTGAAGGCCCTTTGGAGATATCCCACGTAACGATGTCATCTGTTGGACACCAACTGGCACTTTCATTGCTGGGGAGTAGTGACGCTAACGCGGAGAGGTCAAATTGCTTGAGTACGCTTTGATCTGCGGCGACGATTTCTTCCTCGATGCGAAGTAAAGTTTTAGCAAGAGTGTGGTGGATAAAGCGGAAACTTTCGTTAGGCACCAAATCAGCAAAAAGGCTCAGAAACACTGCTTTATCTTCTTGAAAACACCTGAGAACGCTGTCCTCTGTCAGCAACAAAGGTAATCCAAACATTTCTTCCGCAAACTTAGGAGCCTTCATGCAGTACGTTAAAAAACTAAGCACACCTACCACCGACTCAAGTTTCGTCTTGCTGACGTGACAAGGAAGTTTTCCCACATTAGCTGGATTTTCTTTAAGAAATTGGAGAACACTCTCTGGAAGAATCTGCCTTACTTTTACACCTGCCTTTCTGAAGTCATTGAAAAGTCTTTCGGACGAGTAGAGAAGCTTAAAGCCCATTTGCACTAACGTCTCGAAAAATTTGACATCTGATTTAGTTGCAATCTTTATGGTGTTAAAGAAACCCTGTGACAGAGTTAGCCAATAACACCGCGTCAAATCTTTACCGCTATTTGCACTTGACATTTGACTATCAGGTTGACAGTCTAGCGATATCTGATAGGGTTCTTTCTTTACCATGGGGACTAACCTTTCATCTTGACTGGAAATCTTCCGAAATACCGACTCTGCCAGAATGGTCCACTGACTTGAGACTAAATCAAAATGAGGAAAGAGTTGATGATACCAACGCATTCCCTCATGGACGTAGTACTCTTTGGAAAAGCAACCTGCTTCATCCGTTTTCATCCCAGGTAGGAAATCACGAGCCACCAACATCAGCGAGACGTATGCCTGAGCCAAAACCTTTGTCATTAGAAAACGGTTCCACGTGCTTGCAAACCCTTTTTCATTTTCATCACACCACAAATTACGTCGGGCAGGATCAAGGTAGAAATGACCATTAACATGAACGGGAAGTCCGGTGTATAATGGTAATGGCAAGAAACAGAACGCTTTGTGTTTAGTCTCCAACCTCCTGGTAAATGATGATGAAAATGGAACCTTTGACTTTTCTGATACCTTGGCTGCTACGCCACCTCGAGGTAAAAGACCATATCGCCGACCGTCCGGAACATTTTCATCTAAATCATTGGCCTTCAAACCAACAGACTGATGAATGATCCATTTCTCTTCTCGAATGGTGTCTTCTATCTTCAGGGAGTATGTAATTCCGAGCAGTTGAATATTCTTCGTTTCGGACGATTTGGAGTTCTTGATGTGTTCTGCAAGCATTGCACGTTTTGTGGTATCCTCATCTGTTAACTGAACAGAAACCGAGTATATGGCTCTGAGCTGTCCCTCTTCAATTTTAGAAAGTGTTATTTTCTGTAGATGGTTCAAAAAAAGGAGTATTTCTTTAGCTTCAGCGGTAAACAGATTCATAAATGTCGCCATGTTATCATGAGAAACTCGCTCTTTCGATATCGATGAATTCACAGACATTTCCTGGTTTCTGAGGGGGAAACGGAACATTGTAGCAGATGTTAAATCGAAATGATCTTCCAGATAACAAGGAAATACGTCTCTGTAATCGAATCGTTCTTCTTGCCGAATTGGTCCAATGAGTAGTCCTGGATTCTCTTTAGTCGCCCCAGGAGCATAGCGACAGTGAGGATCAAGGATGCAAAGGGTCTCTCCGTTTGAAATGAAACTTGGACAATCAGTGAGGTGATATACTGCGTTAAAACCAATACCATACTGTCCTGTCTTTGTTGGATCTTCAGATTTGCTTCCAATTCCTAATCTCTGTATCCCATCCAAATCCTGTTCGGAGAAGGGTCGGTTGTTGTAAACGCACAAGGCAGGTCCTTGTAATTCTTTCCAGTTGTCGCTCAACAGCTGGTCTGTGGGATGGTTTCGGGGATCATAAATAAAGTGTATCTCAGTGGCCCCAGCATCGTCAGCGTTTTGAACGAGTTCTTTCAAGATTCCAACGTCACAAGGGTATGACTTTAAGATGCCTTTTAAACGATCGGTAAGCTCCTCCCTCTGGCCAAATGGTTTTCCGATGGGACGTGATATTTTAGCTAGTTTCTTTGATCGAATGTCGATTGCCCCCAACTTGTATGCAAATTCAATAGGCACGTGCTCATGGACATATGCAATATCCCCCATTGAAGTCACCCATGGCGCATCGTTAATGGCTAAATCCTTTGCTGGATGTAGAACCAGATTGTGGTCCGGTAGAGGGATGTTACCATTTTCCATGGTAAGGACAATTTCTGGAGCTTCTAGTAGCTCTTCAATCAAAGATCGTGTGACTCTAAATTCCGCAGGTGACAAGGGTGTATCATGGCTTGACTCACTGAGCTTGTAAAGAGTACTGATGATGTCCGTTGGACCGAAACTGTCTCTTACTCCTGTCTCACGGAGAAGGCGTCCGTAGTTCTCAGCAAGAGTCTGTGGTACTTCGAAAAGGTAAGGTTGGCCGTTTGCTTTCCAAGTAAAGGCGAGCTGAGCAGGTGAAAGAAATTTACCCTGGATTAAAATCCACGGTTTGTTGCCCAACTCCCGAACAATGACATCCCCTTCAGGTGAGAGAAGCTCTTGAAGGTAGCCATAAATACTATGGCAAACCTCTTCCAAGTAGTGACCTGCAGCTGATTCGTCTTGGGCAATTTCAATGGTTTGATTCAGTTGAGCAAGGGCTTCTTGGACCGTTGGTATACGACAGCTGAATCCAAAGAGATGTCGTGCTACCTTGCTGAGCTGTCCACAACCATGACTCTCGCCTTCGTCAAGGATCGCTCTTAATGATCCTACGACAAACTTAAATTCCTCGCCATACATGTCATCTGCTGGAAGCAAAACGTCGCCATCACTGGACCCTTTCCATTTGATTGGGTAGTTTGCAGGCTTTTTTAGGACAGGAAACATTCTGATTCTTCTAAGCTCTGTCTGGACTGGTTTTGACGGGACCTCAAGTTCTGTAAAATTGGCATTTATGTAGTTCACAAGACGTGAAACCCTCGTTCGAGCGTCTTGCTCAGTTTTCCTTTTCCAAAGAAGTGGTACCGTCTTAGCTCTTTCAAGCAGGGTGCTCCAGTCTAGGACGTCATTGACCATTCCCAGGTTGTGAAGCATTAGAAGGCGTTCTTTGCTTCGATAGCACGTGCCGACGGGGAAACGTTTGTCATCTGGTGTGAACAGCATTGCGGCGGCACCATAGGGATTAACAAGTTCCTTTGGAAATGCTAAATCCTCAGCACATTGTCCGCAGGGTATGCATTGGTTGTTTGAAAGAAGGGACCTGTAGAGGCTTCTTAGAGGGTCAGATTGATTACGCGAGTGTCCTAGTAGACATTGGTCTATCATGTGAAAAACAATGGGATCTCGTAAATTACCAGGAATCCTAGTTATGTTAGGGAAAAAAACCTCCTTCAGAAACTTTTCTTGTGACATTGTTCGCTCTTCTATGATATGCTTACATCCAGCCAAGTCAAAACCTTTCTTTGCGAAGGTAGGAAGCTGCACTACTTTGTAGCCAAACATTGCAAGGACTTTTTCACTGTTTCGAAGCTTTTGTAATTTGGCATCTTGATATATACACTGCTTTACTGGAAGCCACTTTCCTTCCATGTGTACCAAGGGAAGTTCTGAGCTGCTGATTCTTTGATAAACGCTCTTAACAAGCGTTGTCCAAACGGATGATTCAAGTGTATCCGGGTTGGGCCAAAGTGAGAAACTTTCGCATAAAGGAATCTTTCCTTTCTTTTGCATGAGAATGATATCCTCTAAAAACTTTATGTAGGCTTCCGATAATGCATCCTCCATAAGGCGTCTGTTCCATCTCACTTCTAACGGTTGAAAACCCTCACCTTCGGCTATGGTACTTTCCCAAATCCCTCGACGGTTTGACGTGACTGCAAAGTAACCGTTAACGTGTACTGGTAGGCCACTTGGGATAGAAAGTGGTAGGAAACAAAAGACTTCTCCACAAACAGGCTCCAGAATCGAAAAGCTCTCTTTGTCATTTTTAACGGCAACCCTCCCAGCTATTCCAGAAGCTGATAGCAGCCCTTGTTTTCGGCCTTCTTCGCTTTTTGCCAGTTGAAATGATTGTCCAGTTCCCAGAGAAGAGGTGACAAGCCAGGTGCAGGTTTCTTCAGTTTCCATTCCCTTGTCACTGATAGCCTTTAAAGAAATCGTTACTAACTCTGACAGCTTTGGAGAGGGTGGAGTCTTATTCAGAGGACTACTCTGACCAGTCTTTTGCTTTGTCCACTTCGCACACGACTGAAGAAAGGTAGGTGCATTCCTGCATCTCTTCTCTCCTTGGTGAAGGTCGATTGTTTCCTTGAAAATTTCGAACAGAACTTGTTGAGATGTGGGACCGATAGAATTCTTTTTTATCTCCAGAAACGTCACCTTTTTAACGTGTTGGGTAAACAAAAGCAGACTTGATGATGATTTCTCAAAAGAACGAACAAGGCGTTGAATCTCCTCCTCACTGTAAATCTTATCGCTGATTTCTCCTTTCTTTGTTCGAAAGGCAAATCGAAACAGAGTGCCTTCGAAATAGAACTTACTATGAATGCGCGACAAATTCGTTTCACAACCAATCAGTCCATTAAAAGGTGCAAACTGATCAGGAAAGTACATTAAACTTGCCGGGTTAACTTCCAGATCCAATTTTATTCCAGGCTTAGAAAGATTCTCTATGTGCCCTTGCAGATGGCTTGTATGTGGATCAAAGAATACGGCATAATTTCTGGTAATGAAACTCGGCACATCTGTAAAGTGATACACAGAACTGAAACCGAGACCAAAGCGGCCTATCTTCTCAAGGTCCTCTTTTTTTGTTGCACCTGCCAATTTCGATATATTCTTCAAATCATCATCCGTGAAGACTGCATCGTTATACACCAGTAGTGCTGGACCTTGACAATCTGCCATCCCAGGTGCTAGAAGCCTTTTCGTTGGGTGGTTGCGCCAATCCAGAACAAATTGGACTTCGGATGCACCAGCGTCATCTGCATTCTGGACAAGTTCTCTGAAAACTCCCACACCTTCTTTGTATTCGTTCAGGATGTTACGAAGTCTGGTAGTTACTGGCTCATGAGGACCCGTCTGTTCGATTCCAAGTGCTTCTGCACAAGTGACACGTGTGCTAATTGGTGGGACACCCAATAACTGAGCAACTCTTGTAGAAATTGTGTCATGGATCATAGGAAATTGACTTATGATGGGAATTTCCGATCCTCCTTTCTTTAACCAGATCGCATCACAGAAGGTACAGTCACGGCACGGGAGTAACTTCAAGGTGTTATCCCAGGTCATAATGGGCACCAGCAGATGTTGCCGAAGTTCTGAATCCAGGGGTTTCCCATCTCGTACTATCCATTGGAGAATATCGCATGATAGTTTCTGGTCGTCTGCTACATCATTAACACGCACGCTACTTCTGTCGTGTTTTTCTTTAACCATTGCAAGAACTCTCAGCAGGTCTGAAATCGCAAATGTTTCACGAACTCCACATCGTCGAAGAAAGGGACGAAATGTATGAAAGTCTTGTGGAACCTCAAAAAGGTAAGGCTTGAGGTCGATGTTGCAGGATCGTACAAGCGCTGCATCGGATGGCAACGTAAAGCCATGACCATGCCAAATCCATGCTGGAAATGTGGGATCATTTTTTATCATGTTAATGACGAGATCAGCGTCCTTTGAGGCTTCTTGATAGATCTCTTTAAGCATTGCTTGAAAATTATGTCTTTCGCTCCCATTCATTGACTTAATTGGTCCAAAGCACGCGGAGCGGAGCTGTTGAAGAAGCTGTTGGACGGTAGGGAACTGTCTCCAACCGAAGGCAACCTCAAGTGCATTGCTGCAGAGCTTAGTGGCCAAGGGAAAAGAAACTCCAAAAAGGTAGGCCTTTGACTGGCTGCGAACTTCGGCCGGTTTATAGAACCTTGCTTTGCCCACAAACCAAGGCATGGAACGGGGATACGAAGGAGGACGATCCTTCTTTTGCTGGATCCATCTTTCATTCTTTAGTCCTTGAACAACCCATTCTGACTTTAACATCGATGAATTTTGATCGAGAAAGTCCAGGAGCGCCAATGCTTTACGCGATGCAACATCGTCCGCAAAATTTTGCACTGTTTTAGCGACGTACATAATATCCGTTGCATTTGGGAAGCTCCTCATTCCAAGTTGCTGCAGGTTCTGAAGAATGTCATCCTTTACGAAGTCTTCATGAGGAAATATCTCGCTCTCCCCTTCAAAAAGTTGTCGCAAAACAGGTTGCCTCGGATCAAGAACTTCACAAGGAGTAACTAATCTTTTACTCTGGGTAAGGACAAAAGGCAGCTGTTGCAGTGATGCACGGAATGAGAGATCTTGCATAAAGTTGTATTGCCTCAAAACCCAGATCATCAAAGTAGAAATCTGTTGGTGATTGTAGTAGCCGTTTAATATTCCATTAAAGACCACTGAAGATAGGAAAGCTGTTGGAGTCATCGCCTGGATTCCAAGATTTTGCAGTAGGGCGCGTGACTGGTAATCCCTTGGGATTATAATGTTAGAGGCATTCAGAAGTGGCAAGGAGTCGGGAAGTTCAAAGTTAAATGGAGCTACTGTGCGAACATGAAATCCCTCCTTCGGCGCAAGGAATGATCTTCTATCAGCCGCATCAAAAATTGGCAGGTGTTGAAGAAGGTCCTTTTGATTGGAACTTAAAGACGCCGACGAAAGGTACTCACGCAAGGCTCGCTTTTCATCTGCAGAACACGATGCTGAAATCTTCATAACGCATGTTTGTTGACCAAGAGCATGTAAGACGTTCAAGACGCCGGTAGGAACAGCAGAGGCAATGTACTTGTGTAAAGATACGTGATTTACAAATGGCGGAAGATTCTCGATAACAACACACCCAATCTTTTTCAGCAAAGAGACTATCTGTTGCGGTAAGTGGAGATTTTGGTCGCTCTTCTTAATTGCTAGGCTCGATGATTTTAGCTTCACTATGGTGCGGCATCCTGAGTTTGTCTGGGGGATAAGAGGAAAGCCCTCAAGAGGCGAAAGGTCACTGGGAAAATCCCTTTGGATCCATGTCCACACAGACGGCAACCAAGACTCAGGAGGATGTCCATTTTGTCCCGGGTACCAACAAGCAAGATGCTCGACTTGAAACCACTCTCGTGGTAACACCTGTCGTAGAAGATTGAGCGCAATGGTTTGATTCATCTTCACAAGTTGCATCGGCAATGTCTTTTGCGTGTTTCTTACGTCAAAAGCGGCCCTTGACAATTTGTCTAAGGCAGGGCACTGAACGGTGTCATCAAGAAATTTGCTGTCCATGGTGTAGAAAAGAGAACGTGGGTGCCTTGTTGTTGAAACATAAACAGCAGCCCGAGAGTCGCGGTTGTATTGAAGTGAACGAAATTCGCCAAAGCTTCCATTTGCCAGGGGAAGTAAAGGTATGCCCTGCATATCCATCAGGTTGTCGTCTTGGAGAACGTACTCTAGTAACTTAAGCTTCTTCGTTTTGGGAACACTCATTATATTCCACGATCCCTTCTGTTTCTTTTTCAAAAGACTCCTCATGAATGAAGGCGTGATGGTAAGTGTGGTCCATTTCATATTGTCAATCACTTCAAGTACGTGGTGTGGTACTGTTACGACGGACTCGTTTGCTTGAGTAAATGTTTCTAAAACCACTTGCTTAATTTCACGGGAGCTGTTTATTCTGTCAAGATAAGCGTCTTGAGGCCTAACCCACTTGCCTGATAGGGACCATAAGACAGTCTTCTCCTTCAAAATCGAGAACATAGGCTTCAACATCCTCTTCCAGTGATTTTCCACACTAAGAAGGTTTGGCCAGGATTGGTAAAATAAATCTGCTTTTATCGACATTTCACCGGGCTCGTTCATCTGTTTGTCAACCAAATCAACCAACATGAAGGCGTATGCTTGACTTCCAACTTGCTCCAACAGCCGTACATTCCATTCAGCGGTTGGATCATTTTGACAGTCCAGGCCTGGCCATTTAAGCCCTCGTCGGTTGTCCGTTAAACCAAAGTAGCCATGAACATGAACTGGAAATCCAGTTTTTGAGTCAGCATCCGGTGGAAGCGGCAAGAAGCAGAAAAGTCTCCCTCCATTTGAGGAGAGTGCTTGACGTTGCGATGCTACCAAAGGGGTAGCAAATCCAACCCACGGAAGTAGGCCTAATTCGGAAGACAAGCGTTGGAGGTTTGAGTCTTGAGCATCGATTTGATGGTAAACCAGCCACTTGTGAGGCAGCACTATACCTTTTGCAGAGCATTCTTCAATCTCTAAGGTTAGAGAAATGTTTGTTTTACTGACCGACCCTTGGCTTAACAACTTTATTTCCTTTAAAAGTGATTTCTTCTTTTGTCGAATCTCTTGTCTGCATCTGTCGCTCAGCTTCACGATAAACACCTGCCTCGTAGTGTTAGATTGATCGGTTTCAAATAAAGCTATTTCTTCGATATTCTTTAGGAAAAGGAGAATAACAGAGGCTTCCTTTTCTAGCGCATGAAACAACTTTCGAACTTTCTCCGCTGTGTAATTCTTTGTCGATAAGTCAGAAGGCTCATTTCGAAGGGGAAAACGAAATAAAGTTCCACTGTAATATTGCCTCGAAATCTTGCAGTCTAGGACGTCTTCATATGGCTTAAACTGATCCCGGTAGTCTTGGAGAAGCTGGTCTTCGAGGGAAAATTGTTGGCCCGTTTCTGCTTTTCCAAAGTGTGTTTCGTGAGGATCAAGGAATGCTATTGTGTCTCCGCTCACTATGCTTGGGAGATCTAAGAATGTGATGGAGAGAAGTTTCTTAGTATCAAATTAAAAGTTAAGGATCGAGCTGCCCTCATAAAAAAGTCACGCACATTCTATAATTTTTCTAAAACTCAAAAGCGCTGATGTTCAGATTTTTGATCAGTCTTGAAAAAAATAAATTTTCAATGGCATGGATCAGCAGGATGCCGATATGAACCAATCAAACTTCAACAGAAATGCTAACTCGGTTATATGTCTCATAGGCTATTATGAAAAAAAATCTGTAATAAAATAATTTCTTTCGTCTTTCAATTTAACGTTGTCATAACTCACTTAGTGATGACATTATTTCAAAGCTCGCTTATTCCGAACTGGCATGATTTATATGGATCGTGAGACAATAAGGAGAGTGTCTAGTATCCATATTATTACTAACATTGCAGTTATTTGGTTGTATAGAACCTGGCAAAGGGGCTGCCAACATCCCAGCCCGTCATCGTCGGCCTCCAATGAAAAGACCAAGCTTAAAATACCTCCTGACGTACAGAAAAGGGGGAAACGAGGGTATTGTGTTTGTGAGGAGTCACCAGTAATGGCTTCATGAGGTGTGCCACTAAATCTGAAGTACCTTGGGTACTTTGAGGCCTTACCAGGCAAGGAAGTGTCAGATAAACACTGGTTATTGTACTTACCCGTCATGTGGTAAACAGAGTTGAAGCCTATTCCAAAGCGACCCACTTTCAAGGGGTCGTCCTTCTTACTGCTTCTCATCAGTCTCTCCAGGTTCTCCCAGTCTTCTTCCTCGAATAGAGCATTATTTTGCGCATACAAGGCAGGCCCTTGGAATTTTGCAAGACTAGGTTCATACAAGGAGTTCTTTCCATAGAAATTTGGGCGGGAGTCAAGAAGGAATGACACTTTAGTGGCACCGGCATCATCCGCATTCTGGATAATTTCCTGTAATGCAACAAATCAAACAGTCATTTAAGTGAAATCGTTGAGGATGCCCAAGATGCCCAAGGCTTTCTTATTGCATTACTCTGTATGGCCTTGTTCATGCTATGAGCGAAAAGAAAATCACATGTTAATATTGCTGTTTTGGTTTCTTTTTAAGATAAACAAACGTAGTCGACGACCACGCTTTCGTGTACATGTTACCGGCTGTAGACAGTTTCACCTTATATGGATTTGTATGAGCCATAATTCAGACGTTAACACTGGATTTTTTTCGTTTTGAGAGAGCACTGAAAAGTTTAAGTTCTCGTTTGGTGAAGATAGAAATTGAGTACTGGATTATTTAAGGTTTTCTAAAGTAAGTCTGATTTCAATATAAGCTGACAGTATTTCATATGAAAATGCAGTGTAACTGGAATCCTAAGCGTGAAGCTTTTAAAATGGGATTCCAGTCCCTATGGCCCTAAGATCGAGCGACCTTCTTTCAACTGCATTTTTCGAGTTGTTCAATGAGCAGGGTTTTTGGTACGTATTTGTACTTTTAATCACTTGTTTTGCCTTAAATTCAGTCATTCTTTTTTAAGTCTTCACGCTGAAAGCAGCGTGTATAAAAAACAGATTATTCAATGTGTCCGTTCAACCCTTCCACCCATAGACTGAGTTACTCTGGAGGCTTTGTCCTTCTAACTCAGTTTTGCGTCTTTTGACAAAATCCTTTGTTGTTACCATTAAAATGAAAACTCTTTCCAAAAAATTTTCCCAGTGCAAGGCGATATTTATTTCTGAAGCTTTTATAAAAACGAATTTGGAGTTTTTGCAAGTCGTTTTTGCTTTGGCTACATTAGAAAGTTAGGTATAGCAAGTAAAACCGTAAAAGCCGTACATGAAGTGTGAAACAAAATCACCAAATTCGCTCTTTTGGGGAAACGGGTTTCACAGTCTCAGAATCAGGCCCCTTACTCTTTTTTCAAGACGTAGGAGCTAGTAGGCGTAGACGCTGTCCTCTGGATAAGAGAATCAAAAGTCTTACTCCTAGCTTAACTTCAGCGATGAAATTTGTTAACCGCTAAGTTTATTAAATTTCTGTTCAAAGAATTAGAGATATTTATCAGCTCATAACGTTGCAATAATATTTTGGCTTGTAACTTGACAGGATTTGCAAGTCCACAAATTCTCATTTCGCATCCGAGATGTTTAAATTAGCGTAGGGCTTGTAGGTCTTTTATAGCAAAGATTCTTGTTGTTATAATTTATTATGCCCTATATTGTGTACTTCGTCTAGTTACCAGCTAACACTCTTGTGATGCTGCTGAAATATTTCCTAGAGGAGAAAATTGTGAAAGTACCTTTAAGATTTGTCCTCCATCTGGATATCTTTCAAGGATGCTTCTTAGAATGTGTGTTAGTGGTGGTCTCTTCTGACCATACGACTTTCCTTTGCGGCAGAGAAGGAAACCAAAGAAAATATTACTTCCATTAAAGCACTGCTGCGATTCTAAATTAAGCAAAACCGCTAAAACGACGAATTTAACGTCGAGTAATACTAGATTGCAATAAAATTAAAGAAACCTTCGAAAGTAGTCACAGATCACATGAATCATACGTAACCATTAAGTTTTTAATATTATATTAAGATTGACTTTACAATTGACAATAAAGGTTGAAAAACCCGACTTTACTTAACTTTTTAGAACGCTATCAGAAATAAGAAGACAACTAGCTGTTTGCTGTGCATGTTTTAAATTGGAAACGACACCGTATTGGCTGTGTTTGTGAAATGTAGATGACTGTGTAGTAGCCACAAACCTTGGATTTTTCGACCACGAGATGCCATTATATTCCCATCCTCTAAGTGGATTTTGTAGAAACCTCAAGAGGCGCCCTCACTGTGAGACAAAAAAAAGTCAAACCAAGCATTGACCAACCCATGAAATATTATTAGCTAAATCTTTTTCTTCAGGTCGAACACGACTTTTACGACTAACAAATTAAATAAAGAAACTATTTTAACATGACTTACTTGCAGCCAGTGCTCGACTTTCAGAAAAAAAATGTTGGGGCCAACTCGCCCCCAAGTTTTCATTTTTGGTCGCCAGAACAAGTCTTCTAGTCGCCAAATATTATATTTAAGAACTAATGGAATACAATAAACTTAACATCTTTTCCTTAGCCTTAACAGAAAAAGAATGCTTTAGACTTCCTTTGAACTTTCTTTCGAACGGTTTTCGCTCGAGGCTCGATTACCAGCCGTTGTTCGGGAAAATGAACCCGTACTCAGGCGTAAATCTCCTCAAACAGGTATTCAAGCAATGGAATACACATTTAGATAAACAAACTCTAGAAATAAAAAAA